CCATTGAGAGACCACACATGACGCGACTAGTTTGAAACTTTCAGTTTCAGTTTTATTCATCAGAATCATCACAAAGTTGCAGTTTCGTTGCAGTTGCGTTTCACCGTCTGTTCTGGGCCTAAAAGAAGGAGCGTATGCGGTATTTAGGAAGAATCGAATTATTCACTGGTAGCCTTCTCCCTAATCCTTATGGACAGCGTAGTAAGTATAGGCCAATTAAATACTCCATCAGATTTGGAATGGTCGTGTTTTTGCAGTGAAGACTAAATAAAGATAAAGATGAGCCGTGGGCATCTTTCATAGCTTTTTCGGCCAATATCATGGGACTAGCGATCCTCCATCGTCTTAAAAACAGTGGCTTGAACATGCAGTGATTTAAGTGGTTATAGATCATATGTATTACCCACATAACTTTGTTTTTTAATATATCACTTACTCTCACTGATATTTAATCAAAGTATTTTATAAATAGCATTGTTATAACGCTGCTGAGAAAAAGGAATGTGCATTGCAGGTGTGCGTTTCTTATTGGAAAAATATAGCATGCCGTGATGAGTGGCGCAGTGAAAGATTCATCAAATATAAGTAGTGTTTAATATGACTGGGACACTGTTTAGTTTTTAGTGTATAAACTGACTCTTTTGATTTTTAGGTGTCTAATGCTGCATCAAATTCGAGTTATTAATTTAGATAATATTCGGTTCAGTTAGGTTTATTGTCAAATTCGTGACGTCATCATAGATCCTAGCTATCAATTAAACCTAAAACAAACCTCTCTCACACTCCTACAACTAGCATTGTCTGATAACGGCCATCCTTTGGACTCAGTTAATTTATCATGCCAATTTATCAATGCAGGCATTTGAGCGCAATGACTCAAAGGATTCCTAGAATGTGAGTCAGCATCTTTGCATTAACTGAAGTAGTTCCACTTAGTGCAAGGAAACCTTTTCCCTCTTCGGCGGACTAGAGTTATTGATCATTATACATTTTAATTTTAGGTTTATCTTTTTTCAGTTACGCTTTCATGTGTTTTAACAAAATAGCGTAAAAGAGTCATATAAGCCATGCTAGTATTGTCGAAGAAGTAAGAGATGACTTCTTTGACACTGCTTTTATGATGCTTGGCTATGAATTAAAGCAAGGCTGCTCAACCTTTTGAAGAGTTGGGCCAAACGGTGGATTCAGTCGTTAACGACGGGCAACTTACATTTTTGACAGCGTCCCCCCCCCCTCAAAACTAAAAAACTAAACCGTTGGCTTTAAAAATCTGGAAAAAATCGTAATGATACTGCTTTTCATGAACTTTCAAGGAAAACTATAGCGGTTAAGATACATCAGTTAGTTTAAGAGTCATTTAACCCATGCATTATAAAATTTCTTAACTATAGTGAAAATTCCTTAGACGAAAATATTAAAAGTGATTTTAGATGAAGTAATTGCTTGCTTCTGAAATATATTGTGTTAACGACGGACAACTACGGAACCCTACGCTGCGCATGGCACGACACGCACTTGGCAAATTTTTTTTCAAACTGTACATGCGCGGGCCACTTAAAATTCTTTTGCGGGCCACATTGTGGCCCGCGAGCCTGGGGTTGAGCAGCATTGAACTAAAGGATGGATACAGAGCCACCGTGTATATTTCATAAAATTCATTCGATTGATCTTCCCTAGATAGATACTGAACGATAGAGTTAGACACTGAACGATAAAACTGCTGCGCAAGAGTCGCCCGACTGCACTGGGGTTTTCCCGCAGAACATGCTATTTATTATAGTAAATAATAGTATGCTAACAAAACTCGTTCTGCGAAATGCACCGCGCTTAGTTTGTTTACAAACTGCGCCGGCGCTGGCAAGACGAACTTAAACAGTGCATCAGTTGTTTTTAGAAACGTCATAAAGTAAACGTAACAGACATGACTTTGGTGAGATGAGAACTCACCAATTCGTAACTTCAAGAATTCCCAGTTTCATTTCCATTCCATTTATTGTCCTGAAGATGTGGTAGGGTTAATAATACTGGAACGTGTAAAAGTGCTATTTAAAAGCCAATTTGCAAAAACGAATGAGATTTATGAGTTTTTTGTGAGTTTTTAAATTATTTGGTTCTACTTGTAATATTCTTCTGAAGCAATGTAAAAAAATATGAACATTGAATTTCATAACCACAATAAACGCTGACCGCACTGTTATAAACTTGAGGAAGTTACAGCTGTCAGAGCGTTGCCATAACATATACAAGCTAATGGCGACGAAGATAGAGTACACTTTTGTCTATTGCCATAGGAGCAATGTCGTTTCCGTACTTCGAAGGGCGAGGGCCACGTGCTCACGCGCAGGTATTATGTATTCGAATGTAGGGCAAGCGATGAAGTGACTAATGGCGTTCGAGTGCGTGTGCACTCGGAGTGTTAATTATTTTTTCTCTCTTTCTTTCCTTCTTAGAATATTGTCTTCTCTTTTCATTGACCAATGTCGAGTGTTATTTATGTTCTATTTTTCTGGTTCTTTATGTTATTTTGCTTGACCATCACCATCAGTGTTGTGTTGGCACATATTAACCGTTTTATTTCTACAATTTGGAAGAACACCAGGAGTTCTAGGTGATAAAATAAGGTTAGAGACAAGATTATTTTAGTATGATTGTTGTTCTATGCGCTATTGGTAACTAGATTAATATTACCGAGGCGTTTAGCATTATCCTAGTAAATACGATGAATTGTTGTGGTTTTTCAAATACACAATTGAATGCATAATATATCACTACATATATCATCACGTATTTAAGTGATTACACATCAAATAAACGTGCCACTCTGCAAGGAATATTAGTTTTCGACGTGAATCAACATACCTAATTCATTGTTAAATATTGACTAATTATCTCATTATTACGTGGTCTAGTAAAAAGGTACTAACTGCGACGCATATGAGACATCACAATGAGACATACTTCGTAGCAGATAATGTGGGACAAGCAAATAAAATACTATGTAAAGTAAAAGCATAAATGGTTGATGATTTAACTGTCATTTATTGTACCGATGAAGATACAAGCCAAACATCTACATCAACTTCTAACAACAAACCTAAAATAGAAGAAAGACTCAAAACTGAAAAGTTTTAAGAAGATGAAGTGTGTAATAATGAGAATATTAATATACCTGGTTAACAACGACGACCTACTAATGACAGTGCAAAGTATGCAAAGAGTATGTGAAATCAGATTGGCACCATCCGTATCCACATAAGCTTGATCCGTGGTTTGATTGGTGATGCTAAGACGACGTTCAGCGTCGTGCGGTCTGCGTTAGCTGGTTACATAAAGATCGAAGCGTTTGTAAACATTGTTGGCGTGGGATTCGCTACGATTCTTACGAATGTTTACACTGCCCCCCGCGCGTCTCACGCCGCCATGCCCGGAGTCACGTACGCAGGGCGCCTCCGCGCATGCGCCCAAAACGCCCGCTTTATTTTGGTTTTTATCGCTGATATTCGCGATGCTCATTCATGAACGATAAGAAACGATTATACTGATGGTAGGTTAGTATAACAATAAAATATTGCAAACGCAAACTGCGGAGTTGATAGAGAAAAGCATAGACATAGATTTGTTAGTGATAGAGAAAATAATAAACTAATAAAACTACATTGTGAGGTAGGGTGACACAATCACATACCTACTATTTCATTGGTTCACCAAATTTTGCGAATGTTGATGAAGTCTGTCTCGTAGCGACACAAAAAAACTATAAAACAAAATTAGTGGTTGATGTTAACGAGGGATAGGTAACCGATGATTAAGTTTACGATATGCGAAATTTATGATATAGTAGACCACCCAACTAGTATCAGTTAATGTGTGTTTAATGTCACGCTCAAGGGAAATATAGCAGACGAAGTGTAAATATACATGCACAATAGATAAGCGTAAGTTGAATATAGCATTAAAGATTATAATAATTGAACTAATTGCGAAATTATTGCATTTATTGTTATGGGTATTAGGTATAAATTCCTATCGATTAATACATGCATTGATTATCGAATGAACAAACCATTAGTTAGTTTAATGACTACACATGATTGGAGTGTTATAAATGTAAACGTTATTGCAATAACTGAAATGCTTTTATAACAGTCATCGTTTGGTATTGTAGCACAATCGATAGCATTTCAAGAAACTGGGACGATTATAGAAGACGCAAAAGATATTTTAGCGAGTATACGTCACGGCAGAAATTTCAACCTAGCAACAAAACTAATTTAAAATGTTCGTTATTTACGAAAATTAATAATAAAAGCTATGTGTATTGATTACTGTTATCTCAACAGCTGAAAACCTTTAGTTCGAAGGTCGTTGTTCGGGCAATGTCACGGTGCCAAGTCGTAGGAATCAATAAACTATGATACGACTCAACTTGTAGTTAATTATAGAAATAGATGTGATAATCTTTATTTCTATGATTGTTATTGAACAAGATATTACTGTAGATTAGCAAAACAATCTCAAACTACGCTCACCGATCAAATTGTAGCGTAAGTTAAGATACAATTTATGTTGAAAGTTTACATTCCAAATTATATTGGAAAAAAAATTACAATCTAAGTAGCCGATTCATTGAGTAAATTTTCAGATTGATTGCTTTCTTTATGAACATTGTCTTTACGGTAATAAGTGTATTTTCTTTGTCTTTGTTATACCCATGAATATTGTTAAATTAAAAAAACGTCCCGAGAAATCGCGTAGGTAAATCTCTCTGTAAATCTCCCAACTCCAAGTTTTCTGTGGGCCAAGACAAAGTGCACAAATCGCAAACCAGTCGAATGGCCTTTTTTTGTATGAAGTTTTGACGGATTCGATTTTCGATTCGATCAAAAAGTGCAACTTTTCTAGGGGGGCTGATATCGTTTATTTTTCTTTTGCATTCGATTCTAGCATGGAATCATGTACATTTGCCGAACACAATAAGTTGTCAATCTTTGGTACCTTACCAGCTGAAATAATAGTACCTGAAATATTTTTATAGCAACACTGAACTCTCGTTTACCTTGGTCCTCCTGTTGATGAAGTAGTCGCCCAGCCTCCCATTGTTGGCCATCTTGTTCGCCCTCAGCACAATGTTGTCGACCTGGAATATTTTAATTGCATTTTAATCGAGTACCTACCAAGCATACTTAATGAAAACAATCATTTTGGTACGTGGAAAATTACGCTGCTCAAACTTTTTCTTGGAAATTTTGAGCTTCTTTGATTTATTAGTTTGTTAATTGACATACTTTTTAGGCTTCGATGTAGATAAAATGTAAGGAGACAACGATAATGTGAGCTTGAGAAGTGTTTGAGATGTTTTATTACCGTTTTTGCGTACTATCGCTCCTACAAGAATCATTAATAGGAAATAATTCATTGTACTGTACAATACATACATATACATACAATAGAGAATACTCGTAGAAAGGTACTAAAGCCAACTTGAAAATTAAGTAGGTGTTTTAATTTAATAAGGATGCTTGTGCTATTGCTTATAAGAAGTTATCAATATAAAATGATTTAAAGTTACATACGTACACAGAGAAATAGTGACTTTTCAATGCAACTAAGCTATGAAATATTCTGACCTCAACCTTCAGAAGGACATAAATAAATAAGTGAATCTCTCGGGCTATTTGTTGTTTTGGGTCAATCACGTACGCAGTTATGGTACTGACGACATGCGACAGCGTATCAGACTATACATTTTATTGCAAATTCACATCTATTACAACTGTATTACGAGGCAACAGTGTAAAGCTTGATGTGCTATAATAGCTCCATACAAGAGGTCTCTCTGTTGGAAAAAATGTGGTTTAAAAAACATGTAGCGGGTAGGTATTTTTTATTGCGTATTCTTAGGAGTTTGTCAACCAAACTTATCCTAAACTTGAAATACTGTTCACATCAACGACGCAGAGTATTTATGTTAATTTTATTGTGTTCATTATTACAGCACGCGAATAAATAATGGCCTAGAAATGTAGGCTAAAGAATGTGCGGCCCATTTTTTCGACCGGTTGTGTGCGGTGTGCGGATTCGCGAGTCGTACATCCGTACATGTTTTGGGTGTGGTATGTTTGCACACTGATGGCGATGTGTCGCTAATCTCTCTCGTTAGGCCACACACGTTTAGAAATCATCATAGCTGTAGCTTCTGTTGAAGTGATAAATACTAATACTAGCTTTCCACCAGCGTGTAAATGGGCTGTTTTTAGGGTTTTCCCGGAAAATATTTGAATTTTTCTCGCCGTAAAAACCATCCTTGGACTTCAAAGAACATTTAAAAAAAAGAATTGGTTGGTCCAGGCGTTGTTGAGTTATGCGCTGACCAACACATTTTGCGATTCATCACTGGTACTTGAAGGGCTAATATTAAAAAAAAAATGAGCAAGATTAATCTTATTACACTTGATATTTTTTTTCAAGTACAAGCGAATCGAGACACCATAAAAATCAATTGTCACCGAAACCACTTAGGGTTCTACGACTTAGTAATTTTTATAGCTAAGTTAATTGTTTTACGATGGGTTCACCACAGTGGTCTAACGCGGCGGGTTTCGAACCCGCGTTCCTCAGATCTAGCCCGACATCGACACCATTGGCCTATTGTCGCTTATTTAATAGGTAGTGCTCTGTCAGTTTTTATAGGTAGGGGTTTTCTAGCATAGCTTGTCCAACTTGGTGGTTCAAATATTGGACCACAACGGCTGTATAGTGCGGATTCGGATCCCGGAGGAACAGTGGACTATTCGCAACTTTCGCCCGTATTCACAAACGATGCTTGCTTAAGTGAAGTAGAAAATCGAACGCACAGCGTGGATTAGAGCTCACAGAGCAGGTTCATGTGTCACCCTGTGCGTCCACGCGCACTGCGAGACCTCATAGTAATGTTTGTGAATACAGGCGTGTGTTTGATAACTAGTCACTGAAATAAGCTCTGCTTGGTTCGCCTTAGGAAATGAGTGTACGATAGTAGAAAAATAAAAATTTAATGTTCGATTTATCTTTAGCCCATAATATAAGTGCGACAAAAGATCTTTTCGTTTGAAATCTTTTTCATCATCATCATCATTTCAGCCACAGGACGTCCACTGCTGAACATAGGCCTCCCCCAATGACTTCCACATCGCACGGTTGGTAGCGGCCTGCATCCAGCGCCTTCCTGCTACCTTTATCAGGTCGTCGGTCTACCTTGTGGGCCACCAACCACCACCAAAAAGATCCACCACCACCAACCAACCATCTCGTAAAGAGATCGAAATCTTTTTGGTTTACCATAAATAGTCCTTTTTGAAACACAAAAAAGTGACGTATTTTAGATGTAGGGCGACATCATGGCGCTTCGTATCAGCGTATCATTGCTATCAGTTATCGCCACAATTTGCGCTACACTGACTCCTTATCACTGTTAGATATTTTATTTACCTATGTTAAATGTAGGTAAATTCACAATACATAATTGTATTGGAACACAAAACAAAAATGGTAATGAGCTCTTTTGTAGTTTCTTTTTACTTTGTTACTGAAAGTAATAATTTGATGCCCACTTGTGTTATTTATCAATCAATATTATTGGATCAAATTAATTCGTTCGTTTCAGCCAAATGACGTCCACTGCTGGACAAAGGCCTCCCCCAAGGTTTTCCACAATGAACGGTCCTGCGCTGCCCGCATCCAGGCTCTTCACGCGACCTTTACCAGATCGTCGGTCCACCTAGTAGGAGGCCTGCCCACGCTACGTTTTCCAGCCCGTGGTCGCCACTCGAGAACTTTCCTGCCCCAACGGCCATCGTCTCTACGAGCTATGTGCCCCGCCCTCTGCCACTTGATTTTAGCAATTCTGCGAGCTATGTCGGTTACTTTGGTACAAATTAATTAAGTAAGCAAATTTTTTTAAAGTATGGATTGCGACCGCCGACTATAAGTAGCCAGTAGTTACTTTAAAAAGTTTAATTTTTTTTTATGCATGACAAAGCAAGTATTTGACCACAAACGCACCTGATGTTATTTTCAGTGGTGGTAATGGTAATTTACTACTTACAGTAGGTTTTTAATAAAATGAAAACACATTCAACTACAAAATTGAGCTTAATTATTGGTAGATGTGTTATTGGCTTAAAATGAATAAAATTACCATAAATAGTTGTAACTGGTCTATTTATACTATATGAATCAACCAAATAGAAAGGAAAAAATGTTTTTATCTCAGTATAATACACCAATAATATTATTTTACTTATTAAAAGCATTATCAAAGCTATTTAAATGTAACTGTCCTAATGTAATTGTCTTTTTTAGTTGTTAACTAAATGAAAAAACAAAAAAAAAATAAAAAAATTCTTAATGACTCAATCACAAAACTTTAACTTAGCTGGTCTTGTAACATATGTACCTGCGTGATCAACTGCTTGATGAACTGGCAGTGTGGTTCTTTGCCATCGATCCAGGTGATGAGGTCACTTCGTACAGTCTGCGCTTCTGAGCTCCCGGGGTTCGACACCAGTTGCCCTGCCTGGGATAAGGAATAATTATTAAGTGGAGAAATAAATAAATGGAGAAAATAGGTCATTGAAAAAAAGTGAAAAAGAAGCTGATGGATGATTGCTATCAACTAATGTGGTTAAAACTTTAACATTAATAATAAAATTATATTTATTTTAACTTAAAATACTTTTATTGAATGTTAAAGTAATGATTTAATTTTGTCATTTTAAGGCATAACATAGGTAGTTTAAGTTCAAAAATTTTTGTAATATTGTTTTGGCAAAATATAGATTATTTATTTTAGTAATTCACAAATATTTTAGAACATTTCAGTGTTTTATCAACTGTTTTACAGCATAACTTAATGAATCAAAATCAATTTTATCAGGTTAACAGTTGCCAAAATTCTTGATAAACAATACATAATTTAAACTTTTTTTAAGCACACAGACAAAAAAATGCTTCTATTTAGGAAATAACATACCTATCTAATAATCATTAGCACAATGGGTATTACTATGAATAACTGTATGAGATATAAACAAAATTCTAAGTAGGTATTTGGCTATAAATTAAATAAATTAGAACTCACCGTGAATATCCCTAATCTGTACATTTCCAAAACTTCATTTCGCACTAATAAGCCCTTTTCTTTTCCTAGGAAATTGTCCAAAACACACACACCATACTGGGTCATGTCTCTTATTAGTCTATTACACACTTCGTAGCAGGGATCACTTGGATCCATGTAATAAGTATTTGGCATATGTCCAAACGGAGCTCCGGAGCCCTTAAGCGATGCCTCCGGATACTCTTTCATCTTCGTATTACTCTCAGATCCATACCCCGGTAGCACAGGCATCTTCACATCTGTTCTATTTATTGCCCTCAAAACATTACTAGAACCAGGTGTAGCAAAGTCCACGGTGCTCAACTGCTGGGCCGACTCACTCAATATCTCCTGCTCTGATGATCCCTCATAGGTAATGGCACTTTCTTTACTTAATTCCTTGTCAGTATAAACTACACTAGAAATAACACTAATACTGTCATCTTGCCCCTGTGATGAGGTCGCCCCAATACTTTCACTTTTCGTCACGTTTTCGGCAGGTATTTGCAATGTTTGTTTATCTACACTAGAAACAACTTCCTTACCCCCTTTTTTTGAATTTTTCGTCTTTGAGTTTTTCGAACGTCTCACTTCACTAGAACTACCCTCCGAAGCGCCTCTCACATGAAAATCTTCTTGGACAGAGTTAGTAACAGCCTTTTTCTGTACAATTTTCCCACTTTCTTCGCCGTATTTCGCACAATCACCTACTATTTGACTATTCGTTCCTTGTTTTGGTAACTTCGGACCGCACTCACTTTTGTGTCTTTTCCAATCTTGCCGTTGATGATCTGTGTTACAATAATAAATGTTGAGACAACGAGCACATCTACGATGTGTTAGCTCGTTACAAACGGCGCAACAAGCAAGCACGCTCTCTTGATTCATTCTGAAAATAATTTATTTCCAAGGGCCGGCCCCTGCGCGAAATATCTGTCAGTTGAAAAGAAATGTCATGTCATGTCATTAAAATGTCAACCATTGACGTGAAACTTGGCACTACGTTCCGTTTCAAGCACTTGATAGCCTGTGTAGTAATTTAATGCAACGGTTATAATAACGGCTAATATTTATGAGACGAGTGACCATAAGAGTGACCATTAACTTGATATGGGTATTTTTCTCTAGTCTAGTCTTTAAGTCTTTTTCGTTTGTTTTAATAGTTTTCTTATAATTAGTTTCATTAACGTGAAATAAATAATTTAAAATGTTTAATGAGTAGAGTCCAGCGACGCGGCGCAGCGGGGATCGAACCCGCATTCCTTCTTCACCATTCCTCACATCTGAGAACGGACACCGACATTCTGTCGCGTTTTTGGTGGGAATTTAGCCATTTATCACTTCTTCGTAGGTACATACATACCTATTCCTTACTTATTCTACATCTAGTCGAAGTCCTATTCAAAAATACCAACTGTAACTGTTTGTGGTTTATCACTGATGATGAGAATTAGTTAACATTACCATTTTTTGGTGACTACTTAGAGTAACAAACATCAAGCCATGCGCCAATCTGTTGATTTCAGTCAGGTGTTAAAACTAACTGAAAGAAGCGCGCAATTATTCTACCTACTTTTTTTCTAGACAAACTTAGTTATTACCTTATACCTACCTTACCCACTCAATCTTTCGCCGTTACAAATACTAATGGCATTGTAAAATAAATGTACACATCTTATAAAATTATTTTTAATTAATAGTAAATATCATACATAATATGAAAAAAATCATTATTTTTATCTCATAATTTCACAATACTTATGAACTGGGAAGTAAGGTACTATTAATACTATGATGTAGTATTATTTTATGCGATGATAGATATGGGTCATTCCACAAAAATATGTCAACTCTTAGTCCGCGCCACATTTCATATGGAATATTTGTTAATATTTTATTCCAAAATTGTTAAATAACAGCTCGCAATGTGTTTTATTCATCACCCATTTATATTTTTTAAAACTATTTTTAAAACATCTTAAATTCCTTTTCAATGACCCAAAACGTCATTCCCTAGACATGTCCGCACTCCAAAAGTTTGTGTTTTGGAACCCATAATTAAAGAAACATCAATTTGATCCTTTGTTTTAATTAACGAATAATCTATTTAAATGTATATTACACCAAATTCTTTTAATATTTTGCGGTTTCAATAAACAATTATTTGATTTTCTGTACTTGAAAAAGAGTCCACAGCTTTTAGCGTCATTCCCTCGCCACGCACTGGTTTTATAATTTTGCGTTACAATATGTATCTATAGTGAATGACATTTAGTTGAGTTTAAAGTACGATACGAAGTTATGCTCAGACTATACTGGCTTTGCGGCAGCCGTTTTTTAAATTAGTGCAAACGTGCCAGTTGTTGCGGAAACATGTGTTAATCCAGTCACTTCGTCAGTCCCTAGTTGAGTAGCTTTATTGATTACAATAGGAATTTGTATATAATTTAATAGTATTTACGTGTGGTTTTTCGGCTATTTTCGGCACATCGTATTAAGCATCTTACATTATAAAGTTAATCTGCATTTGTGTTAAGTTTTACTCCAAATCGTCAGTCCCTAGACGTCAGGCCCTAGCTTTAAACGGCGCTAGGGACTAAGTTATTAGTTACGGAATGACGTTTTTTATATAGTGATAATAACAAAACAACTACATGAAGTATATTAACTTATCTATAAATGTTAAGGTTATAAGTTCTATACTTTATTGAAAGTCATATAGGAGTAATGTAGTATGAAAAAATTGAAAATTATAATTTCTCCTAAAATAAAGCATAAAGTGACTGGCCCTTTTACACATAACATAATTAATAAATAAACTTTAATTTACACTAATAAAGTATTCAAAAGCATCTTAAAAAAGTTTGGGACAAAATGACGTCCAAAATATACAGATTTTCATGGAATGACCCATATACACGATGCTTTGATAGAAAAAAGGATATGATTAACATAAATAATTATTTACAAATCTAATAAGATAGTTACAACGAAACAATATTTATAATTAATGACAATGAATGATTAATGAATGAAGAATAATGAATGAATAAGACTAGATTAGTTCTACGTCGAGTCACGCTCTTTGAAGGTAGATCCATAATTCAAATAAAAAGTACAGTCAGCCACAAAAACATTGTCTTAGGACTTACCAAATAAAATGTCAGTTAGATTGTTAATCTTTACAAGTTTGATTCATACTTTTAGGCATATTTTTTGTTGTTTTCAACTGTACAATTTAAGAAGAAATAAGATCGAGGCTCGACGAAAGGAACTAAGGCGCGTAACTGCGCGCGTTACTTTCTGACGCACACAGTTACGCATAACTAAATAAGTAGATACTTAACATGATTAAAACTTAACAAGAATATGCCTGTTTCACGACCACTTAAGTAATACACACTAAAGCCTTTTTGTTTCTTTGGGCGTAACCGCTACAATTTACAAAAGATTAAAAAATAATTCGCTAGTGTCTTTTCCTAGTCTAGTCTACTCTACATAATATTTTATTTTTGGAGTCATTAATCATTATGGTTGGCTACCAAATGGTATTGAGTTATAGTGAAACAGGCTGCAAGTACTTTCACCACCAAGGCTAGAATAACAAGACAGACTTGGCACTGATTGAAGAGATGTGCTCTTAAACACTTGTCTAGTGGTGAGCAAAATGAACTTTATTAATATTATTATTAACCTCCACCAAAATTCCATTAATTTAAACAGTGCTTAAACTAGCACATTATTTTTACATTTGGACTCAGTTCTTTTTGCTCATCTATAGAATTACAGTTACAGTTTAAAGCTCGACGCGAGCGATCTTCGATTTACATAATATTTATGTAGGTTGCAGGGTTTACTTACAATAGAAAAGTGTAGAAGTGTAATGATGTGTAAGTTTATTAAAAGTTTTAATAAGTAAGTAGTATAAATCACATACTCGATAACAGTTTGCATTGCTCGAACTAATGTATCTACTCATAAACAATTGAGCCTATGACTATACAATAGAAAGATTGTGACCCAGCCCTCGATATTACTTAAACTACTAAAGTAGGAAGATCGCTAGCATTAAGTCTGAGATTAAGGGAAGTTCCTTGTCTACAACCAAGGAGATATACCCTGGATAAGTTTACCGTAAAAGAGAAAGGCAGCGTCCAATTATTTTCTTCAGTTCTTGACGCGTAGGTATAACGCCCACGGCTAGTCAACATGGCTTGAGAGATCACATTAATGCCTACAATACTTTAGGACCTAAAATTCATCTAAGCTACAATAAATTCACGTAAACGCCTGTCGAACACGAAGAATCGCCAGCCATCTTGACTCGTCGCGAACAATTGGCCCGCCGAAGGACCATCCGCATCTACGTTACCAAAAACTAGCGGTTAAATTGGACCCTAATTACCTGTACTAACGTTTAAAGTAACGTGGCGCATTAGACTCTTGAGTTTTCGTCTGTGGGGGGCACTGGTGGTGGGGGTGCGTGGAGTACCCTGGCGAGTTCTGCTTTCTCGTCGGCTGAGAGGACGTAGACGGGAGGTGCTGGAGGGAGGAATCGTTCGGCCTTGTGTGGCTCCCGTTGAAGCCTGGCGCGGTAGAGCATCACGAGGACGCAAAGAACGCTGATGATGAAAGCTGAAGTGGCTGCGAGCACGATTAGCGCGGTGTGGTACGATGTCGCTGCTGAGACCTGCACGCAGAAAGACCGTTTTAGTATTGTCCAGCACAAATCTTGAGAACTAGGACTCAAATTACACCCCTGAAATAAAGCACCAGCCCCAGTTATTCTGAACAAGCCATCGCAGTGAGTTTGTTAATTTATTAACATGTTTATTTACAATGTGGATGGTTCGAATAAAAAATAAGGATTCCATTAACATATTTTTTTATTAAAATAAAAAACAATAACATTTATTAAAACAGTGAGTTAAAACCTAAAAAAAATATTTTGTACCCGGAACCTTAAAATTGTACCTAGCGTTGCATTTTGTACGAAACTTTACAGAAGGAATTTAAAACAAATTGACTAAGCATAGAGAGAGATGGACAATGGACATCATGCATTTTGGACTGTTAGAAAAAAAAAATTTAGTCCTTTCTATTTTAGTTTTCTTACTCCCTATAGGTAAAAAAGCATGGAAAAGTAAATTCAATAGCCTTTCAACCACTCTCAGTACGTACAGTGGATTCCGTGAGGATCTCCCGCTGGTGGTGCGGTTGCGGCGCGGCGAGGCGGTACTCGCTGCGGATGACGTCAGCGCCCAAAACCCCACTTTGCGACTTGTCCATGCCAGACAGCTTTTCTTGCTTCACCTATGAACGTTATTTAGTTATCAAGAATATTGCACACACTGTAGTATTAGGTATGAACATGGGATGACTCTATATTCGTTTTCTACCCCAAAGCATTCAAACTCGTAGGTCCTGTATCAGAGGAACTAGTAGGTTGGAAAATTTCTTTTTTGATCATCGATGACAGGATATTAAGCAATAGGTACTTTGCAAGTGAGATGGTCATCTGTCTATACTAACTTCCCAACTAAGTAAATAAAATAAGCCAAAACTCTTTTATCGACTCGATTGATATACAGGGTGTCCAAAAAAGTAGTGTGAAGCCGAAACCTAGAGGTAGAGCATCACTATATTTCACTGGTTTATATTAAAATAATGCTTTATTAACCCTCACCAAGTTCTCAATCTGGTACACCACATCGACTGCCTTCGGCCCAGTGAGAGCAGCCCTCAGCCGCACCATATTCTTGTCTTTAGTGACGCTGACGGTCAGCCGGGACGAGAGCGTCGCGCGCGCACGCTCGGCTATCTAGTTCTCTATCTTGAAAAGTTCTAGTTCTAGCAGCGCTGAATCGATTTCGTCATGCATCAAGTATGATACACGAACGTAGTATAAGGTAGTTAAAATAATCTTACCAAGTTCTCAATCTGGTACACCACATCGACTGCCTTCGGCTCAGTGAGAGTAGCCCTCAGCCGAACCATATTCTTGTTCTAGGTGACGCTGACGGTCAGCCGGGACGAGAGCGTCGCACGCGCTCGCTCCGCTATCGAGTTCTCTACTCCGAGGAGTTCCAACTCTAGCAGCGCTGGTTCGATCTCGTCATGCATCAAGTATGATACACGGACGTGGAATGAAGTTGATAAAATAGTTTTCTTACCAAGTTCTCAATCTGGTACACCACGTCTACAGCCTTCGGCCCAGTGAGAGTAGCTCTCAGCCGAACCATATTCTTGTCCTTGGTGACGCTGACGGGCGCCCATCGCCGTCAGTCGCTATCGAGTTCTCTACCCCGAGTTCTATTTCTAGCAGCGCTGATTCGTTCTCGTCATGCATCAAGTATGATACACGAACGTGGTATAAAGTAGATAAAATAATCTTACCAAGTTCTCAATCTGGTACACCACGTCGACAGCCTTCGGCCCAGTGAGAGTAGCCCTCAGCCGCACCATGTTCTTGTCCTTGGTCACGCTGACAGGGACTCGAGCGCCCATCGCCGTCAGCCGCTATCAAGTTCTCTACCCCGAGGAGTTCCAGCTCTAACAGCGCTGATTCGATATCGTCATGCATCAAGTATGATACACGAACGTGGTTTATATTAGATAAAATAATCTTACCAAGTTCTCAATCTGGTACACCACGTCTACAGCCTTCGGCCCAGTAAGGGTGGCCCTCAGCCGCACCATATTCTTGTCTTTAGTGACGCTGACAGTCAGCCGGGACTAGAGCGTCGCACGCGCTCGCTCCGCTATCAAGTTCTGTACCCCGAAGAGTTCCAGCTCTAGCAGCGCTGATTCGATATGGTCATGATGCATCAAGTATGATACACGAGGGTGGTATGAAGTACCTAAATAAAATAATTTTCTTACCAAGTTCTCAATCTGGTACACCACATCAACAGCCTTCGGCCCAGTGAGAGTAGTCCTCAGCCGAACCATGTTCTTATCCTTGGTGACGCTGACGGTCAGCCGGGACGAGAGCGTCGCGCGTGCTCGCTCCGCTATCGAGTTCCAGCTCTAGCAGCACTGATTCGATATCGTCATGCATGATGATACCGAACGTGGTATGAAGTACCTAAATAAAATAATAATCTTACCAAGTTCTCAATCTGGTACACCACGTCTACAGCCTTCGGCCCAGTGAGGGTAGCCCTCAGCCGTATCATGTTCTTGTCCTTGGTCACGCTGACGGGGACTCGAGCGCCCATCGCCGTCAGCCGGGACGAGAGAGTCGCGCGCGCACGCTCGGCTATCGAGTTCTCTACCCCGAGGAGTTCCAGCTCTAAGAGCGCTGATTCGATTTGTGTTGGCTCTGGAAATAAAGACAATGATCGATTTGTTAAGCTAGACCATAATATGTAGTTCAAGAGCTACAAGTACACGCGGTCTAAAAGTTTCGCGGGAGCAGCTGTCTGGAGGCACCATGCAAGGACCTTTGGTTATGTTTACAAGGCACAAAGTCACATAAAATATCAATCGGCAGGCAGTGGTGACTGAGTTTGTTGCGGCACTTCTTCTCAGCACTTACCAAATGTTGGTCTCGAAGCGCTGGTAGGGTAAAAAGATTACGAGACATGTAGAGAGAGAGCAAAATATTTGACGATTTGTAAGTAGTCTATACAAATAAAGAAATTTTGACTTTGATTTACCACAAGGATCGCGGTCAGGTAGATCAGGCACCACGCCAGCATAAGGCCTTCGCTGACCAGTCACATCCACGCACCAGCAGCGTCCGCGGGAGCATTGGCGGGGCGCGACCGAGCCGTTAGAGAGGCACCATGAGCGAGGACCTTCAGCTACTGTTCATAAGGCACAAAGTCACTTACCACAAGGATCGCAGTCAGGCAAGTTTGGCACCACGCCAGCATAAGGCCTTCGCTGACCAGTCACATCCACGCACCAGCATCGTCTGCGGGAGCATTGGCGGGACGCGAACGAGCCGTCTGAGAGGCACCATGAGCGAGGACCTTCAGCTACTGTTCATAAGGCACAAAGTCATTTACCACAAGGATCGCAGTCAGGCAAGTCTGGCACCACGCCAGCATAAGGCCTTCGCTGACCAGTCACATCCCCGCACCAGCATCGTCTGCGGGAGCATTGGCGGGACGCGAACGAGCCGTCTGAGAGGCACCATGAGCGAGGACCTTCAGTCACTGTTCATAAGGCACAAAGTCATTTACCACAAGGGTCGCGGTCAGGCAAGTCTGGCACCACGCCAGCATAAGGCCTTCGCTGACCAGTCACATCCACGCACCAGCATCGTCTGCGGGAGCATTGGCGTGGCGCGACCGAGCCGTTAGAGAGGCATCATGAGCGAGGATCTTCGGCTACTGTTCATGAGGAACACAATCACTTACCACAAGGATCGCGGTCAGGTAGATCAGGCACCACGCCAGCGTGTGGTCTTCTCTGGCCGGCCGCGTCAACGCACCAGCAGCGTCCGCGAGAGCATTGGCGTGGCGCGAACGAGCCGTCTGATAGACACCGTGGGCGGGGACCTTCAGCTCCTGTTGAAAAAGCAAAAATATATATATTGTATGAAAAGACTAGATATTAGATACGCCTGGCGGAGAAATGAAAAAAAAATTAAAACCTATGTTTCATAAAAATGCTAAAGAATGCAAACGCATGTTCATTGCATTTCATTAATGCATGCCTATCTTTAAAACAATTTTTTTAGAGTGAGGAATTTACACAAACATTTACTTGTGACGAGTGGACTCTGTGACGAATCGACAACAACCCCATATTTTTCTGTCTGACTGTACATAACCTAACTATTATACACAACTTCTTAGAAGTCGCTTTAACTAAATTACTTACCATTCTCACTCTCCTCCTGCATCATTTGACACTTGGTCTTGAACACTTCGTTCTTAGACTTCACTTCCAGAGCATTCTCGGCTTTCCTCGTCGTGTCCGCAAGCTTCGGTTCAACGACTTCTGCCAACACAGACGCGTCGTCGCCAATGGCCTTATCTTCTAGGTTCTGGATCAGAATGGTCTCTCGCGGCTCTGCTTCCTGGTCTATGCTGTCCAGGTCCTCGTCGTCGTCTTCTTGAAAGTCGTCCACTCGGTATGCTGTCATTTGCCTGATGAGTTCTTCTAGCACTGCAATGAATAAGATTAGGTAAGCTTTGTTGAGTCGAGTAGATAGGTAGGTAATACTTAGGTAGGCGCTCAATAGTCCAAGAAGTCCAGGTTCAAGAATGTCCAGGGTCGGTAGTTCGATGTCCATCGACCGCTGAACTACTGTGGTAACTAGCGAGTGGCAAATAGCTAATAATGATCGTTAGGCCCCCAATTCGCTGATCATTATTAGCTATTTGTGCCCTAAAAAAGTAGGTTAAACAACCTAAGAAACTAGGTCTATGTAGGCAAGTTATTGAACCAGAAGATTTGCGGCCGCCCGGCCTAACTCGGACACTGAACTCATAAAATGAATTTGAGTAACTTTACCAATCAATAATTACTTTTTATTCGACTGCGCCAGAAAGATTGCACCATTGCATATTATGTTAAGAACCTAATGCCCGTTTTCATCATAAATCCCTAATTTTTAAATGACCCCTATGGTAACACATAACAAGAATTTTGTTTTCATAGGGGTCACTTAAAAATTAGGGATTGATGGTGAAAACGGGCATAAGTCTAATTAATGTAAGCAAATTGATTCACACATACCTTCGTCAGCTCTGGCCCTCTCGTCCAGCGGGTCCCGCTGTACCCACTTCCTGGCCTGCCTGAAGTTGCAGGTGGGCTTGGCGCCGCGCACCAGGGAGCCCTTCAGCGGTTCGCCGCGCGCGCTGACGCACCAGCACACGTCTGCTGGTACAGAATACAAGGTTAGTAGGGATTGCAGTGTTATGTATCGTTATTTTATATCGGTATTTAATTTGTTATTATAAGCGCGTAGTTATCCAAACGTAGCTAGTTTAAAAGCATTAGCATCATTTACCCTCTGACCACATACAACTGCAAACAAAAACTTTGCTCTTGGCTTTTAAGTCTAAGCTACTCGGAGACGGAGAAAGTTATGCTTACCAATGATAAATGATGTTGATCCATACTCCTTACACACACACATACACATACGCACACACACACACTCGCACACGCACACACACACATACACACACACTAAATACACACACCTATTCACTCAAAGTTCGCTTTTACTTGTTTTTATTCTCATGTAATATACCTTTATAATTAATCAACTTTAACTTCAAAATTATAATTATCATAATGTAACAACATCTGAAATAGTTATAAACCTAGGGTGGAAGACGCTGGCAGCTGTGACACAGTGTATACTAGTACAGCTGAGTACAGCTGTCAACGCTAACCTCTTTGTAATAATAATGTTGTTCAAGCTCCATAATATACTTAGATTAAGAGATTATTGTAAACAGGAGTATATAATAAATTATTATTTATTATTATTATTTATTATTATTCAGGATGTGTATCCGAGATTTCTTCTTGATTCGCAAGGCAAAATGGCGATAGGCAATCTTGTAAGCTCTGTGTTTAATCGAAAATAAAAGACAGTATCTTAAAATAGAAACAACTTTTATTTACGTCTCCAAGGCGGAGACATCACAGCAGTTCCTGGTGAACCTAGTTACCCCTCCTCAGTCAGGTAGGTAGGTACCTAGGTAGGTAAGTGCTTTTTAGTATTGACCGACTCTATTTGTAGACTATAAGTAGTACTACTCAGAGGTCCCGGGTTCGAATTCCAGAGGGGGCCAAATTTTCTGCTCGGTATAGTAGGCGGTAGGGCTTATCTAAGTCCAGTCTGTCGCCTTATCAACAATGTTAATAGCTATTGTGTTAAAGAGTTGGAGGTAAAGTAGCCAGTTCCTCGGTTGGAGATTCCAGATAAAACTCGCTTCCACTTACACCCACACCTCTTCAGAACATTACAGTTGCGGTTAAAAATATTTAAAAAACCGGACTACTTATGAAGTAAACAGTTTTTCGACCGTGTACATTTGACCGTCTCGGCGAGCTCTACCTATCAATAGACAACTAATTTGTTAGGCCTGGACAAAAACAAATCCAAACCATCTTACTTACCAATATGCGACATGCACTGCACCGACTCCCACGCGCCGGTTTCGTCGCAGACCGGGATGAAGGTACCCTTCCCGTACTTCTGGGCGGCTGCCTCGTTCTTTTCCCGAAGCCTTTCGCAGGGACTTAGCACTGAAATTGTAGATACAGGGATATAAATAAAGCGGGCTAATTTTTAGAAAGGGTTCTCTTCTGGTTATATTAAAGCTGGGTTGTGCACCATCTTACATTAACTTTGACGAACGTCAAAAATCTGTCAAACTCCATACAAAATACACCGGTTACCGTAATAGTTACGGTCAAAGTTAGGTGGTGCAACTCAGCTTATAAGTAATTTACTTTTTGACTGTTTGGTAAAGTAGCTGATTCTGATGACGATAGCTTCGTAACAAAATATTTGTCGGTAGGTAAAATGATACATTGAAACAAACTTTATCAAGTAACTGAAGAACTGAAATTAATTTATAGAATTCCATAACTGCAGGCATTTATTTACAGGCAACAGCACATACATAAATGAAAGCTTAAAAATAAATTGGTTATTTAAAAGAAAACATAACAATAAAAATAAATAAATACAAATAAAAAATAGTCCTGCAGATCTGCACAAGTAATTTACTTTACAAAAATGCCGAAAGCCGCTGATCTTCAACTCTATGAGAAAATTGGTAAAGCTCTTGAGTAATTATTACAAATACAAAAATTGGTCGCCTACCAAGCAACGCTCGCTTGTAATATCTGCACCGTCTTAAAAATACTGCAAAAGATCGTGTAATTAGAACATCGTGCTAAATAAAGGAAAGTAAGTTCAGTGTGTGTTAATGTTGGTGACAGTTCCCCACACAAATGTACAAGAGAGTCAACATGCCTTCCTCATGGTCGTGACCAGTCTCCTTGTGCGACAATTTTGCTGAATCTCCATCCGCTGTTTGAAAGCAAAATGTTAGAAATGGTAGGCTTGGGAGAGGATTGTTTATTTGGTAAGAGCTGAGTAAGTAAGTAACTAATACTAGGAGAACTAAGTAGGTTGGTACAACTCTTGCCTACATTTTTAAATGAGAGGATTTGAAATTAGCTAGGGCTTTGAGCAGGAAGTTTCAGAATTATTTGCAATACAAAAGAAAAGAGAATGAAGTTGCTATGTACAAAAATGCGGCTTCACGTCTTTTGCATCAAGAAAAAGTTGTCACTGATAAGGCGAGAAGCCCTCACTCTACCAAAGATCTTGTAGAACAATAGGTAAAGAAAGGCCATAATATCCTCCTTCGTTACCATGTTACAGAGGTTGTAACCGACATCTACTGCTGGATAAAGGCCTCTCCCATGCCATAGACCGATGTTGCGCTGCTTGCATGCAGGTGGTTACCGCGATCTTCAGCAGATTTTATCGGTCATCCAAAGGGAAGGCCTGCTTATCTATACTAGGTCTTTCGGTCTGTGGTCGCCAATCGAGAACTTTTCTGCCCCAACGACAATTCTGTTCTACAAGATAACATGCCCCGCCCATTTAACAATTCTTTATGTACAAATTAATATGCCTAGCTAGACGCAGACCATCGACTTTTATTTGGCTGATAGTTGAGTCGGGCTTAGGGTTGCCAGGTCCAAAAACACAAAAGCCGGACTCTTGTCGTCTTGCTCACGAGTGAGTAGTGAGTACTATCAGTTATTATTCTGTAGCTCGACTTTCGCTAGCGCGGCAGCCACATAAAAAAAGCCTACCAAAAGCCGGGCAGGCCGGACAAGCCAATATTTGGCCAAACACCTGGCAACTCTATCGGGCTGTTAATCAGTATGGTCATTTATGAAAGTGCGCACACTACACCGATTTGGTATCTACCGATTTTTCATACAAATTAAAATTGGGCCCAATTATTGGCCAACTAAAAATCGGTGGTATGCGCCTAGGCTTAGTCAAATGGCTTATTTTCCGAAAAATGTGAACTGAAAATAACATTCGCAATGGTTTTAGTCTATCTCACCTGGACAGACAGCATTGCACTCTTCCTTAGTTCGGAAGTTATTGTGGTTGCCCGCGCAGCCGTGGTAGCGGAACCTCTCGCAGCGGTTGCGCTCGTGGTTGAAGTGCCAGCGCGTGGTGTTGAGCCCGTCGCCGCCGGTGCATACGCCGGGCTCTTTGCTCTCGAAGCAGACTGTGCCTGGGTTGGAAGCAAGCTAGAGTCATGTATGGTTCACCACCACGCGCTTATACAAATTGCGTGGGCTATATTCTTTCAAGTGATATAAGGCCCCTGGGTGTAAAATATGCTAGTAGCCGTTTTATGTGGAAGTAATCCACTAGTGGTAGCAGCTGCTATCAAAAAGTAAGTTCACCACCACGCGCTTATACAAATTGTGTGGGCTATATTCTTTCAAGTGATATAAGGTCCCTGGGTGTAAAATATGCTAGTAGCCGTTTTATGTGTACTAGTGGTAGCAGCTGCTATCAAAAAGTAAGTGAGCTTTTTTTGTTCGATACCAAATCGAATACCAAAAACGCCTTCTGTGGAAAATTAAATGTCACCTCACATAACATGTGAAAAAAAAATGAATACTTAGGTAGTCCGATTAACTCATACCTATTGTGTCAGTGATCAAATCTTGGTTTACGAGTCCCACCCACAACGATTTGAAAAGTTCTAAAGTGACTAGGTCAGCTGTCCCTTGGTTGGTAGGACTTGTATTATTTGTAGCCCCCAAAGGCGTCCACAACTTGTGCGCTTCTGACATTTGTGTTAATTTAGGCCTAAACTTTAGACCAACATTTATAAGTTTAAGAAGGTATTATTTTACTCACGAAAATTGGAGAGGGTCGCCTTCCTGCAGTGGAGACAAGACCTGATGATAATGATACATGAATGTGATACTCACGTGGCTTAGGACAGCACACCGAAGGTCTAGAGTCGTGTGGCGCAAATCTGCAGGCGTGAGTAGAGGGGCAGGCAGCGGCTGATTTTACTTACTGACCAGTTTAACTTTCCCCCGGGACAAACTTGACCTTCATTGGTTGGGTTTTTGTGGCGGTCAAGCTGTAGATCCTGGCTACACAGGAGTTGCAGTGGTGGGAACGAGAGGTGGGAATAGTCCCGTAGACCTGATGATAGTGATACATGAGTGTGATACTCACGTGGCTTAGGACAGCACACCGAAGGTCTAGAGTCGTGTGGCGCGAATCTGCAGGCGTGTAGAGGGGCAGGCCGCGGCTGNGCTTAGGACAGCACACCGAAGGTCTAGAGTCGTGTGGAGCGAATCTGCAGGCGTGGGTAGAAGGGCAGGCTGCGGCTGACGGTCCGCAGGTCAGGGCTCCGGAACCATCGGGCGCCTGGAGTGGTTCACCGTCAGGACACTGGGGTGACGGCGCGCATCGGGCCAACGGAGGACAGATGTCACCCTAGAATGAAGTTGTTGTAGGTTATGTGATGAGTGCTTTTGGATCATCACATTTGGAACATCACAAAATGTTTGGGATGAAATGACCAAGACCAGTCTGCCCGCGACCATGACTCGTGCAACCGAGCCGAAACGTCGGGAGGGTAAATATTTTATTTACCGTTAAAATAGATATTGTTGCAATAAATCCCGTGAAGTGATAATTTTATAATTGAAATGACCAAGTTCGATTTTGATCTTTTGAAGTCAGTTTAGTTCAACGTGATTTTAGTCAACACAAAAGTTCTATCATGGTAGATGATGCTATACACGGGATATATTTTTCAACTAGCTTTTGCCCGGGCCTCACCCGCGTGAAATTTAGTTTGTCACATATCGTCATAAATTATAGCATATGTGTTATTCTGGGTTATAAACAATAATACTGTAAAGTTTCATCAAAATCCGTTCAATAGTTTTTGCGTGAAAGAGTAACAAACATCCAGACATCCAAACTTTCGCATTTATAATATTAGTACGAGTAGGATTATGGTTTCTAATCTGAAAATATAAGAGGCAACCGTCACCGACTGCTCTATCAACACACAGCTCAAATCTCTGAACGAATTGCACTGAAAATGTATGATCCAGTAAGGAAGGGTTTCACAAAATTCACATTTTTAATGAGATAAAAATTTGCGTTGTTCAAAAGCTACAAGTGTATAAAAAATCCACTCCATGAGTGCACAAGAAAGGCTGCAATGCGGGAGGAATGGCAATGGATTGTGAAGCTTGCAACCAAATCAGGTGTGACGACCACGACGACCACTCTGGCAAGAGTGTAACGACGAGGAAGATAAACAATTCTGATATTCCATATGACTAGGCGTTCTAGCCAAGTTACCTCGCAATCCAAAGGCACCAGCTCACAGGTTTCATCGTCTCTACACTTGGCCTCGGCGCACGGGTCTCTACACTCGCAAGTGGGGCAGCCCTTGGCGTCTAGCTCTCTGCCGTGGGCGCAGACCTCGTCTTCATTGCAGCCAGGGTTGGGGCATTCGGAAGGAGCGTCGCAGTTAGGTGTGGAGTTGGTCGTTCTGGTGCCTGGCATCTGAAATATGACAGAGTAGAATTAACTTTGTGTTTTTTGCCAGAGAGAGTCTGCGTTGGACCTCAGTGTGATGGTAAGAGATTATTTTAGCGGTCACTTGTGCTACTCTCAACAAATGAGGCAAGCCATTTGGTTCCAGCAGAGTAGAACAGAATCCCCCCTGTTCTTCACGTGGAACGTTGTAAGAGGCGACCAAAGTAAAAACCCGTCTGGGAAATGTAAGCCCAATTATCCATTTTGTCTTCAGTAACACAGAATTCTCCTGCAGTAGAGCCTAATGATCTGATGATGATCATAATGCAATAAAAGGAATCGTACCTCAATACCAGCAGCATCCACGCACCAGCAGGTCTTGTCCGCGCCCCGGCACTGTACGCTGGCATAAGTGCCATCCTCCTGGCACTCCGGTACCCACGTCCACGACGATGGACTGCCACTCTCAGCCGTTATGTGGAAGACTATAATAAGTGATAGAAGGAGTTCATACCTCAATGCCAGCAGCGTCCACGCACCAGCAGGTCTTATCGGCGCCTCGGCACTGTACGCTGGCATAAGTGCCATCCTCCTGGCACTTCAGTGCCCAAGTCCATGATGGGGGACTACCGCTCTCAGCCGTCATGTTAAAGATTATAATAAGTGATAGAAAGAGTTCATACCTCAATGCCAGCAGCGTCCACGCACCAGCAGGTCTTGTCGGCGCCTCGGCACTGTACGCTGGCATAAGTGCCATCCTCCTGGCATTCCGGTACCCAAGTCCATGAGGGCGGGCTGCCGCTCTCAGCCGCTATGTGGAAGACTATAATAAGTGATAGAAGTAGTTCATACCTCAATGCCAGCAGCGTCCACGCACCAGCAGGTCTTGTCGGCGCCTCGGCACTGTACGCTTGCATAAGTGCCATCCTCCTGGCACACTATGGAGCGAAATTGAGATTTATGGACATAGCGATTTTTTTCACAATTTCTATTTGAAAAAATACCTATCGATAGGTTACGTTATTCTGATGAATAAATGCTTCACAAGTTTTTCTCTAAAACCAATAGTTTGACTGGAAAAAAATATTTTCCATTTTCGTTGTATGGAATGAAACATAAAGTNGGGAGCATGTTAAGCCTAGTTCCATGGAGGGGACTGCACCGTGCGTATATTTAGACGAACCAATTAGAGCCACTTTTGACTCCTCATCGTTCAAAAACTACTGTGCATTAACACTTCAAATTTGGCTCATGTATTGAGACTTGCAAGATGTACATCAGCTTCAAATTTCATAAATATACCTCAAACGGTTATTTAGGTATTGACGTTCAAAAATCGATATTTAGAGCACTACTATCTATCTATCACATGTGAAATGTTAAAATTTAGTGGTTTTTTATTTGATCCTTTGTATTTACATAACTACCTTTCTGGATGCCAAATTTGAACCTTCGAGGTCATCTGGAAGTGGTTAGAATTTGGTCTATAGGTCAGACATGTAGATTTTTGGACGTCAATATCTAAAGAACCGTTTGAGGCATATTTATGAAATTTGAAACTGATGTATATCTTGTAAGTCTCAACACATGAGCCAAATTTGAAGTGTTAATGCACAGTAGTTTCTGAGTGATGAGGATTCAAAAGTGGCTCAAAGTGATTCGTCTAAATATACGCACGGTGTAGTCCCCTCGCTGGAACTAGGCTTAACATGCTCCCGCATGTCTAGAATGATTGCTCAATGTTGATTTAGTCGATTTTCTCCTGATGAGAACATGTAAGACAAAAATAAAATTTCCAATATTACAGACCTTCTAGAGCAGGTGCCGCGAAAACTATACAATTTATAGAAAAACTTGTCTATCTCATCTGTAGCAAATTGAATAAGCTTTTTTTGGTTCATAGTAGTCATGTCACTAGGACGCATAGTTTGCGAAAAACCGAAAAGTGGCACCTTTAAACCCCCCTCTCCCCGCCGGCTCAAGGGCTAAGGGCGGGGACTTTTGCTATGTTCACCTCCTAACTAGTCTAAATAAAGTTCTGATGTCAGAAATTTTGTTCTACAGTTTTCCATCTATAATGCTTTATTGACTGGACTACATAATATACTTAGATTAAGAGATTATTGTAAACAGGAGTATATAATAAATTATTATTTATTATTATTATTTATTATTATTCAGGATGTGTATCCGAGATTTCTTCTTGATTCGCAAGGCAAAATGGCGATAGGCAATCTTGTAAGCTCTGTGTTTAATCGAAAATAAAAGACAGTATCTTCAAATAGAAACAACTTTTATTTACGTCTCCAAGGCGGAGACATCACAGCAGTTCCTGGTGAACCTAGTTACCCCTCCTCAGTCAGGTAGGTAGGTACCTAGGTAGGTAAGTGCTTTTTAGTATTGACCGACTCTATTTGTAGACTATAAGTAGTACTACTATGTCCCGGGTTCGAATTCCAGAGGGGGCAAAATTTTCTGCTCGGTATAGTAGGCGGTAGGGCTTATCTAAGTCCAGTCTGTCACCTTATCAACAATGTTAACAGCTATTGTGTTTAAAGAGTTGGAGGTAAAGTAGCCAGTTCCTCGGTGAAGATTCCAGATAAAACTCGCTTCCACCAACACCCTCACCTCTTTCTGAACATTACTCTCCAGTGAGGCAGGTCAAGAGCTCCTCAGGTGCGGTTAAAAATATTTAAAAAACCGGACTACTTATGAAGTAAACAGTTTTTCGACCGTGTACATTGACCGTCTCAGAGCTCTACCTATCCATAGACAACTCATTTGTTAGGCCAGGACAAAAAATAAATCCAAACCATCTTCACTTACCAATATGCGACATGCACTGCACCGACTCCCACGCGCCGGTTTCGTCGCAGACCGGGATGAAGGTACCCTTCCCGTACTTCTGGGCGGCTGCCTCGTTCTTTTCCCGAAGCCGCTCGCATGGACTTAGCACTGAAATTGTAGATACAGGGATATAAATAAAGCGGGCTAATTTTTAGAAAGGGTTCTCTTCTGGTTATATTAAAGCTGGGTTGTGCACCATCTTACATTAACTTTGACGAACGTCAAAAATCTGTCAAACTCCATACAAAATACACCGGTTACCGTAATAGTTACGGTCAAAGTTAGGTGGTGCAACTCAGCTTATACTTAAGTAATTTACTTTTTGACTGTTTGGTAAAGTAACTGATTCTGATGACGATAGCTTCGTAACAAAATATTTGTCGGTAGGTAAAATGATACATTGAAACAAACTTTATCAAGTAACTGAAGAACTGAAGTTAATTTATAGAATTCCATAACTGCAGGCATTTATTTACAGGCAACAGCACATACATAAATGAAAGCTTAAAAATAAATTGGTTATTTAAAAGAAAACATAACAATAAAAATAAATAAATACAAATAAAAAATAGTCCTGCAGATCTGCACAAGTAATTTACTTTACAAAAATGCCGAAAGCCGCTGATCTTCAACTCTATGAGAAATTTGGTAAAGCTCTTGAGTAATTATTACAAATACAAAAATTGGTCGCCTACCAAGCAACGCTCGCTTGTAATAAGTATCTGCACCGTCTTAAAAATACTGCAAAAGATCGTGCAATTAGAACATCGTGCTAAATATAGGAAAGTAAGTTCAGTGTGTGTTAATGTTGGTGACAGTTCCCCACACAAATGTACAAGAGAGTCAACATGCCTTCCTCATGGTCGTGACCAGTCTCCTTGTGCGACAATTTTGCTGAATCTCCATCCGCTGTTTGAAAGCAAAAGGTTAGAAATGGTAGGCTTGGGAGAGGATTGTTTATTTGGTAAGAGCTAAGTAAGTAAGTAACTAATAAGTACTAGGAGAACTAAGTAGGTTGGTACAACTCTTGCCTACATTTTTAAATGAGAGGATTTGAAATTAGCTAGGGCTTTGAGCAGGAAGTTTCAGAATTATTTGCAATACAAAAGAAAAGAGAATGAAGTTGCTATGTACAAAAATGCGGCTTCACGTCTTTTGCATCAAGTAAAAGTTGTTACTGACAAGGCGAAAAGTTCTCAATCTATCAAAGATCTTGTAGAACTACAGGTAAAGTCCATAACATCCTTCTTTGTTAGCATGTTTCAGAAGATCTAAAAGACCTCTCCCATGGATTTAGCCATAGACCGATGGTGCGCTGCTTGCATACAGGTGTTTTTACCGCGATCTTCAACAGATTATCGGTCATCCAAGGGGGAGGCCTGCTTAAGCTTATCTATACTAGGTCTTCCAGTCCGTGGTCGCCACTCGAGAACTTTTCTGCCCTAACGAACGACCGATCTAACATGCCCCGCCCATATTTAACAATTCTATATGTACAAATAAGCCTAGATGCACACCACCGACTTTTAGTTGGCCGATAGTTGAATCGGCCTGTTAATCAATATGGACATGTATGAAAGTGCGCACAATACGCCGATTTTTCATACAAATTAAAATTGGGCCCAACTACTTATTGGCCAACTAAAAATTGGTGATCTGCGCCTAGTCTTATGCCCGTTTTCACCATCAATCCCTAATTTTTAAGTGACCCCTATGAAAACAAAATGCCTGTTATGAGTTACCATAGGGGTCACTTACAAATTAGGGATTGATGGTGAAAACATGCATTAGTGAAATTAATGGCTTGGTTTCCGAAAAATGAGCTGAAAATAACATTCGCAATGATTTTAGCCACTATCTCACCTGGACAGACAGCATTGCACTCTTCTTTAGTTCGGAAGTTGTTGTGGTTGCCCGCGCAGCCGTGGTAGCGGAACCTCTCGCAGCGGTTGCGCTCGTGGTTGAAGTGCCAGCGGGTGGTGTTGAGCCCGTCGCCGCCTGTGCATACGCCGGGCTCTTTGCTCTCGAAGCAGACTGTGCCTGTGGTGGATATAATTATTGTGTAGTGTAGTGTAGTTATGTGCGGTTATCCACTGATTGTGTAGGCTGTATGGCCCGTTTTCACCATCAATTCCTAATTTTTAAGTGACCCTTAAGGTAACACATACCAGGAATTTTGTTTTCATAGGGGTCACTTAAAAATTAGCGATTGATGGTGAAAACGGACATTAATCTTTTAAGCAATTGTGTCTTTGGGTGTGAATTTGCTAATAGATGTTGGCTGTCGTGAGTGCCGCCACATTGCTATCAAAAAGTAGGTTTACCTATCTACTTTACGAAGTAAAATATCATACATGATACCAAATCGGCTATCACGTCTATGGAAATGTGGACCTCTCATCATACTGTTTAGTTCCAGTAGGTAATAATACTGCGACAATTAAGATCTTTAAAATCTTGAATTTACGAGTCTCATTCACAACAATTTGAAGAGTTCAAAGACAAGGTCAATCAGCTACCAGCTGTCTCTTGTTAAGCCTCGTATTATGTGTAGCGTAGTCCCCAAAGACGTCCTGTAACTTGTGCGCTTCTTAACATTGTACTACCATTTGCGTTAATTTAGGCCTAAACCAATAATCTAAATATATAAAAGGAGAAACTGACTGACTGACTGACAGATCAACGCACAGCCTAAACGGCTAAACGTAGGCACTTGAAATTTGGAAGGGACGTAGCTTAGGTACCGTAGAGGTGCACTAAGAAAGGAATTTCCGAAATTCCCACGGGAACGGGAATTAGCGGGAAAAACGGGATTCACGCGTACGAAGTCGCGGGCGGCCGCTAGTTTATGCATATGGAACTTTGCTTACTTACTACATACTAGGTAGGTACTTTACTCCGGAAAATTGGAGAGGGTCGCCTTCCTGCAGTGGAGACTAAACCTGATGATAATGATTAATTGAATACTCACGTGGCTTAGGACAGCACACCGAAGGCCTAGAGTCGTGTGGAGCGAATCTGCAGGCGTGTGTAGAGGGGCAGGCCGCGGCTGATTTTACTTACTGACCAGTTTAACTTTCCCCCGGGACAAACTTGACCTTCATTGGTTGGGTTTTTGTGGCGGTCAAGCTGTAGATCCTGGCTACACAGGAGTTGCAGTGGTGGGAACGAGAGGTGGGAATAGTCCCGTAGACCTGATGATAGTGATACATGAGTGTGATACTCACGTGGCTTAGGACAGCACACCGAAGGTCTAGAGTCGTGTGGCGCGAATCTGCAGGCGTGGGTAGAAGGGCAGGCCGCGGCTGACGGTCCGCAGGTCAGGGCTCCAGAACCGTCGGGCGCCTGGAGTGGTTCACCGTCAGGACACTGGGGTGACGGCGCGCATCGGGCTAGTGGCGGACAGATGTCACCCTGGAATGAAGTTGTTGTAGGTTATGTGATGAGTGCTTTTGGATCGTCAGCAAAATGTTTGGGTGTCCAAACTAGATTCTGTACTTTTGAAATCAGTTTAATTCAAGGTGAATGTAGTTCTAGCATGGTAGATGAGCTGAACACAAGATGCATTTTCCAATTATGGTTTCTAATCTGAAACTATAACAGGCAACCGTCACCGACTGCTCTATCAACACACATCTCAAATCACTGAACGAATTGCGCTGAAAATGTATGATCCAGTAAGGAAGGGTTTCACAAAATTAGCATTTAAGGAGATAAAAGGGGGCTCCAAAATTTGCGTTGTTCAAAAGCTACAAGTCTATAAAAAATCCACTCCATGAGTGCACATTTCTTGTGCACTCATGGCTGCAATGCGGGAGGAATGGCAATGGATTGTGAAGCTTGCAACCAAATCAGGTGTGACGACCACGACGACCACTCTGGCAAGAGTGTAACGACGAGGAAGACAAACAATTCTGATATTCCATATGACTAGGCGTTCTAGCCAACTTACCTCGCAATCCAAAGGCACCAGCTCACAGGTTTCATCGTCTCTACACTTGGCCTCGGCGCAGGGGTCTCTACACTCGCAAGTGGGGCAGCCCTTGGCGTCCAACTCTCTGCCGTGGGCGCAGACCTCGTCTTCATTGCAGCCAGGGTTGGGGCATTCGGAAGGAGCATCGCAGTTAGGTGTGGAGTTGGTCGTTCTTGTGCCTGGCATCTGAAATATGACAGAGTAGAATTAACTTTGTGTTTTTTGCCAGAGAGAGTCTGCGTTGGATCTCAGTGTAATGGTAAGAGTTTATTTTAGCGGTTACTTGTGCTACTCTCAACAAAAGAGGCAAGCCATTTGGTTCCAGCAGAGAAGAACAGAATCCCCCCTGTTCTTCACGTGGAACGTTGTAAGAGGCGACCAAAGTAAAAATCCGTCTGGGAGATCTAAGCCCAATCATCCCTTTTGCCCTCAGTAACACAGAATTCTCCTGCAGTAGAGCCTAATGATCTGATGATGATGATAATGCAATAAAAGGAATCGTACCTCAATACCAGCAGCGTCCACGCACCAGCAGGTCTTGTCGGCGCCTCGGCACTGTACGCTGGCATAAGTGCCATCCTCCTGGCACTTCAGTACCCAAGTCCATGATGGGGGACTACCGCTCTCAGCTGTCATGTTAAAGTTTATAAATAAGTGATAGAGTTCATACCTCAATGCCAGCAGCGTCCACGAACCAGCAGGTCTTGTCGGCTCCCCGGCACTGTACGCTGGCATAAGTGCCATTCTCCTGGCATTCCGGTACCTACGTCCACGACGGAGGACTGATAGAAGTGGTTCATACCTCAATACCAGCAGCGTCCACGCACCAGCAAGCCTTATCGGCGCCGCGACACTGCAAGCTGGCGTAGGTCCCGTCCTCCTGGCACTCCTGTACCCACGTCCACGACGAAGGGGCACTGTACGCTGGCATAAGTGCCATCCTCCTGGCACTTCGGTACCCACGTCAACGACGGCGGACTGCCGCTCTCAGCCGCTATGTGGAAGACTATAATAAGCGATAGAAGTAGTTCATACCTCAATGCCAGCAGCGTCCACGCACCAGCAGGTCTTATCGGCGCCTCGGCACTGTACGCTGGCGTAAGTGCCATCCTCCTGGCATTCCGGTACCCAAGTCCATGATGAAGGACTGCCGCTCTCAGCCGCTATGTGGAAGACTATAATAAGTGATAGAAGTAGTTCATACCTCAATGCCAGCAGCGTCCACGCACCAGCAGGTCTTGTCGGCGCCGCGACACTGTACGCTGGCGTAGGTGCCATCCTCCTGGCATTTTGGTACCNCCACTTTATGTTTCATTCCATACAACGAAAATGGAAAATATTTTTTTCCAGTCAAACTGTTGGTTTTAGAGAAAAACTTGTGAAGCATTTATTCATCAGAATAACGTAACCTATCGATAGGTATTTTTTTCAAATAGAAATTGTGAAAAAAATCGCTATGTCCATAAATCTCAATTTCGCTCCATAGTGTGGCACTCCGGTACCCAAGTCCATGATGGGGGACTACCGCTCTCAGCCGTCATGTCGAAGACTATAATAAAAGTGATAGAAGTGGTTCATACTTCAATGACGCAGCTTCAGCCGCATCAACGCACCAGCAGGTCTTGTCGGCGCCCCGACACTGCACGCTTGCGTAGGTGCTGTCTTCCTGGCACTCCGGTACCCACGTCCATGACGAAGGACTGCCACACTCAGCTGCCATGTGGAAGACTATAATAAGCGATAGTAGGAGTTCATACCTCAATGCCAGCAGCGTCCACGCACCAGCAGGTCTTGTCAGCGCCCCGGCACTGTACGCTGGCATAAGTGCCATCCTCCTGGCATTCCGGTACCCAAGTCCATGAGGGCGGGCTGCCGCTTTCGGCTGCCATGTGGAGCGCTAGCGCCCTGTAATAGAGTTGATATTTGTTACTGATTTCATGAGGAAAGGACAAGTGAAAACGAGTTATGGCATTCAATATTTTGGGCTCAGCGAAATTAAGATAAAGTGGATAGAACTTTAAAGATGATTTTTTAAGTCTCAAAATTTTCGATTTTCCAATAAAATTATTTTTAAACCTTCGATGCTCCAGTCATCAGGGGCCATATGGCATGAAAACGCCAAGCGAAAAAGTTATCTTCGCTCTTTTTGTTGGTGTCTTATTATAATAAAGTATTACTTTATTGGTGTCCTATTTTATTCCAGTGGCCTGACAATTTGGTATTGAGAGTTAGTAGTTCCTTTTAGACTCAGTGCGAACGAAGAAATAATGTTCATCAGTTTCCTACCTCCTTTGCTGACAAGCAGACTGGTGCTCTGCTTTAGTGCAGGCAGTACCGCATCCAGTGGCGCAGCACCGTTCCGCTGGTCCACATTCCGCGTCATTCCGGCACGACCACTCGCAGGCACCGTTTGAGGGTACCAGGTATGGGCATTGACCGGGTTTCCTTGGTAAACCTGAGGGATGAATTGAGGATTGTTTATTTGGTGGTGGAGTGAATAGGGAAGATACTTGGTGTGTAGTTAAATCTGGGTAGAAAACAGCTTAATGTTCAAGCACATCGTCAGCCATCGTATTCTTCAGGAGTTCAGATAAGTTCAGTCTACTCTTGAACTTAGAGGAAGGTTTTTAAAGTATAATTCAGAAATTCTGTAGAAAGTAAGAACTCGGCTGAAGAACAAGGCAATGAACGACTGAAAAGGTGAAGTGGCAGAGGGTCGGTCATATCCTTCGGGCAACTGAAAGATGGAGTAAAAAGTTATCGGATTTAAATAATATCTCGGCAATAATGCTACAGCCCCCATTTGTTCGTTGGACTGGACGATATCAAGCAAGAAGGCTGCAACTAGATGTAAAAATCGCGTTCGTTCGTGCTTTGTGGCATCCAGTAGACCATAGGCTAAAATGTAAACTCACAGGAAGGTACTGGATGGCAGTAGTCCGCGTCGCAAGCCACATCTACCACTGCACAGGCGAGGTCGGCAGGGCAGGTGACGCCAGCGCACGGGTCGCGGCAGCGGCACGTCGGGCAGCGGTTGGCGCCGATATCGAAGCCGTAGTCGCAGCCCATTCGGCACGTCATGTGTAGGCAGTCGAATTGAATGGATACTTACAGGCAGGAACAGGAGGGCAGTAGTCAGCGTCGCAAGCCACATCTACCACAGCGCAGGCGCGGTCAGCAGGGCAGGTGACGCCGGCGCACGGGTAGCGGCAGCCTCACGTCATAACTAGGCAGTCGAATTGAAGGATACTTACAAGCAGGAACAGGAGGGCAGTAGTCGGCGTCGCAAGCCACATCTACCACTGCACAGGCGCGGTCGGCAGGGCAGGTGACGCCGGCGCACGGGTCGCGGCAGCGGCACGTCGGGCAGCGGTTGGCGCCGATCTCGAAGCCGTAGTCGCAGCCCATTCGGCACGTCATGTCGAGGCAGTCGAGTTGAAGCATACTTACAGGCAGGAACAGGAGGGCAGTAGTCCGCGTCGCAAGCCACATCTAACATTGCACAGGCGCGGTCAGCAGGGCAAGTGACGCCGGCGGACGGATTACGGCAGCCTCACGTCATAACTAGGCAGTCGAATTGAAGGATACTAACAAGCAGGAACAGGAGGGCAGTAGTCCGCGTCGCAAGCCACATCTACCACAGCGCAGGCGCGGTCAGCAGGACAGGTGACGCCGGCGCACGGGTCGCGGCAGAGGCACGTCGGGCAGCGGTTGGCGCCGATCTCGAAGCCGTAGTCACAGCCCATGCGGCACGTCATGTCTAGGCAGTCGAGTTGAATGTACTTACAGGCAGGAACAGGAGGGCAGTAGTCCGCGTCGCAAGCCACATCTACCACAGCGCAGGCGCGGTCAGCAGGACAGGTGACGCCGGCGCACGGGTCGCGGCAGCGGCACGTCGGGCAGCGGTTGGCGCCGATCTCGAAGCCGTAGTCGCAGCCCATGCGGCACGTCATGTCTAGGCAGTCAAGTTCTTCGCGCAATCTGGGGTTTGGAAAGACCGAAGATTTGAGAAGAAGTACCTTTATTGATTTGTAAGTAGGTATACCGAAGATGTGCTGATGCTACGGACGATGGAACAAGCTAAACGCTATGCATGGAAAAAAAGTGTTGCGGATTTTGGGAAACTAAAATAAATGTCATCTAGGTATACCTAGTAGACATAGCCCCTGGCTGCCCTTCCTTGTGCAAAAAAAAAAAGATATTACCTACTTATCGACATAAATCTCGAAATAACAGTTTGGTAATTTCTATAGACTCTTTTGATTCAGGTGTTGACTGAGCAAAAGATAGAAGGAATACACTTAGGAGGATAAACGAAGTTAATGGTTTAATTAAAATTTTATTATGCTTACTTGTCGCAGTCCACAGAAGAAGCATTGTGCCCGCTGGTCCTCGGTATCTCCGTGCCGAAGGAGTCCACGCACCAGCAGCGTCCCTTAGCGCACTGCTGGGTGGAGAAGGAGCCGTCGGGGTTGCAGGTCGGTGGTGGAAGAGCCAGCTTCATACCGTCCACTGTCCCTTCCATCTTCTCGTCGAAATCACGAAGGTATTCGCACACTGGGAAGGAAAAAATAGGTTATCTTAGCCATCTGCTTCTTGTCGTGTCGACAACAAACCTATACAGTGTCTGCCCAAAACTTTGCTACGAGAGTGGCGTTGTCAGTAGCATTCATGCTTTCATACTTAGCTATGTGAGGCGTTGTAATATCAGCAAGAAAAACTCAGCCCTATAAATACTTTAAGAGACATTTTGTTCTTGTTAAAATGATCCCCTTACCTATTTCATCCAATGAATTAAGGATCTGGTGAAAAGTAGAGGGAACCACCTAGATGTGGGGAGTGCAGGACCGTTTATAATGGAAATCCTTGGGGGAGGTCTTTGTTAGCAGTGGATATAATTGGCTGAAACAAAGACGAACGAAAAAAAGGCAATATTAACGTGTCTCACTCGTTGGAGTGTCGTCCACTCTGTCGCTCTGCAGCCGCATCTTGGCCGGGTCGATGCAGATGGGCCCTCGCCTCGCCGTCGCACGCTCATTGAATGAAATAAAGTCAATAATCCCGTGACTCACTCGTTGGAGTGTCGTCCACTCTGTNTCGCCTCGCCGTCGCACGCTCGTTGAATGAAATAAAGTCAATAATCCCGTGACTCACTCGTTGGAGTGTCGTCCACTCTGTCGCTCTGCAGCCGCATCTTGGCCGGGTCGATGCAGATGGGCCCGCAGGCGGCGGCGCAGCAGACGAGCTCGCCGTCGCACGCGCCCTCCGGACAGCTGGCCGTGGAGTTGAGGCCGCAGAGGGCTTCCGCTTCTACGCCACATGAGTCGAGGTTTAGCTGGAAGAGAGTTGGTGACCTTTAGTGGGAATGTTGGCCAAAAATTCTCCATTTACCTCTGTGTCCTGCAGTGGAGATGAAAGGACATGATGATGATGAAGGTGATGACGATATATCCACACAAAGGAAGGAAGTCGTGACCAAGGCACCCAAGGCCAGTCATGGTCATAGATAGCGTTGGTGTCTAAAGTTATTAAGTGTCTTAAATTGGGTAGCTGTTAAAACGACCACTGGTAAATAATGCAACCTTCCTACTTTAATGGTAAATTGTTAATAATGGGAATTTTAGTTACACAAGCAAAATATTAAAGGTAAGTAACTAATGAAAAGACAGAGCACGAGATTTTAGGTTCATTTTTCAGCGCTTTTTACAAAATAAAAATAAGTTCTATCAAGGCAAGGGTACTAGGCACTAGGTGAATTTCAAAACATCATCCTCACCTCCATGGAATAGCTGTCCGTAGAGTTCTCAAAGTGTGGATCAGGGCAGCACACAGCGTTTCCACTGCGTCTCAGTTTGGTGCAGAAGTGTTCGCTAGGACAGTCGCTGTCGGTGCCACATCCCACCACGCTGCCGTCATCGTCCGTAGCCGGGACCCCGACTTCGCAAGGGTTATCGTATGATACCTTTGGACGACCTGATGGGGAAAAGGTTTGGTAAGTTAAAATCATAGCTTGTGCTTAGGCTTAGGCTGATCTGACCTTAAGCTTTCGATGTGTTATATTACATTCCAGTCAATTTCATTTGCCTTTTTCTATTATCTGGTTTGCGTAAACATGAAGCCAAATTAAGATCAAATTCACACACATTCACACATTGCTGTTAGGTGAAAGGGAAGCGAGAATTTTAAATACGAAGCTTTTAACATTCGTGTCTTCTTAAAATCGAATAAAACAGAATGCTTACTGAATTGCATTCAATCGTTTATAGAACATCATCATTACGGTAGAAGTTGCGTAGGTAGTAATCAGTTCTACCTTAACTATTATGTAACGGAAACGACAGCAATGTTTATAAACAAATTAGCCCAAATAACAGATGTTGTATTTACGGTACATTAGTTCACAAACAACATCGATTATGCAATGTAGAGTCATACAATCTAGAATATCTTGTTTTACAACTACTCAATAGATGTTCCTAACGATGTTACACTTAACTCATCTTTTGACAGTAGTTAAGTTGCTTCATTCTGGTAAGTGTACTAATATTTCAGCCTACCTAATGATATTATTATTCCTAACTGGAGTAATACTAGGCCTACATAATTATGTTGTATCAGTCCAGTGGAAAATAAGCCATACGTTTTCGATTTCAATTCGATAAAGTCGCAGACATCAAAAAGCTTTATTGTCCAGAGATGCTGTTTTTTTTTTTTTTTAATTTATTTAGGAAAACAAACAACTGAACAATACATATTTTTTCTTAAGATAGTTCAATAAATATACAGACTAATTGGACAGTCAACACCGTTATCCTAGTTTAATAAAATGAACATGCAATGTACGTACCCTACTGATACTTAATAAATTACCACTACTAATAACATAAATGCGAAAGTGTCAACAAAACGCAATATGTTGAACACATATGGTTCAGGTCAGGTTGCATCTTCTTCGCTTGATTTTATTTGCCTACCCTAAAATAGTTTTAAGAACCACTTACAGACAGGGTATCCAGTGCACAGTTCCCCTGAGCACTCTGCGTCTCGGACCCTCACGCACTCCTCTCCGTCAGGGCAGGGGAATCCCGCGCAGGGGTCGTCACACTCGCAAGTGGGGCATCCGTCCGCGCCGCTCTTGTATCCGTACTCGCAGACGCCTGTGTATGGAATAGTATAATAAATAATAATAAATAAATATCTTTGGACAATCTCACACAGCGCCATTGCGTAAGCAATTAATATGCTTGTGTTATGGGTGCTAGCTTAACGGATATACTACTTATATACTTTTTTTTTAAATACATACATATTATACATAGTAACACCCAGACCCGTCACAGAAATTAAAATTCATCATTTCAATTTCTGCCCGGCCGGGAATCGAACCCGGGACCTCTCGGCATAGTAGTCCGTTCTGAACCACTACACCAAACGGCCGACAACAGTATAAAATATCAATACGATGAAAAACAGTCACTATAATCGATAGAATTATCCAGACAGACTATAATGGTACATACAGCAGCACATCTAGCTACACCATGGAATCGTTGTTGTATTAAGGGTGATTTTGCAGGCCGCGGACGATTGTCCAATTTTAGGACAATAACTTGCAGCTCCGTTTCTAGGCGGATACTGTCTGGTTTTTGTAGGTACGCCGCTTTTCTGGCTAGGACAGTCATAAGGCGGGCGTCCCCATCGGCCAGTGGGTATGAGCAAAGCATTTCCCGACGGGAAAAATGGGTGATTTTGCAACAAAAATAATAATATGTAAGGAGTCTGATGTGCTGATATCTGTACCTACATTCACAACAGTATCCAATGCTATCGATATTGTGACTGTTCCCACCGCTGCAACTGCTTTGTAACCAGGATCTACAGTTTGACTGCCTATAAAAACCCAATTAATCAGAAGAACACAGTTTTGAAACTCTACCTGCGCATAGAGCCCTGGTGCAGGTGGTGAGACTTCTGGCTCCAGTACNTGAACCACTACACCAAACGGCCGACAACAGTATAAAATATCAATACGATGAAAAACAGTCACTATAATCGATAGAATTATCCAGACAGACTATAATGGTACATACAGCAGCACATCTAGCTACACCATGGAATCGTTGTTGTATTAAGGGTGATTTTGCAGGCCGCGGACGATTGTCCAATTTTAGGACAATAACTTGCAGCTCCGTTTCTAGNCCCGGTGCGGGCGGGGCGGGGCGTTGGCGAGCACTGGACGGTGGCTGAAGGGCCCATGGACCCGCGGAGCTTGTTGCCGTCGGAGTCCACACACCTGGGAAACGAGAGTAGTGTTTCTTTTTGTGCAAGGTACGCGTTAAGACCTAAAACGAAGACAAATAGCCCACAAAGCATTGTCGCCCCTGTAAAACATCCACATCGCGACATTCGTATAAACTAAAGGTTCCTTTGTTGTTCTTGAGGCACGGATCTAGTTGCATATACTACATTGAACTCCTGAAATTACAGCGTCATGGTTATGTTCGCCGCACCAAGAAATTATGTGTTTTTCAACATAACATATCGATAGTGCTCGTTTACCTCCTGTCACATAAAAAAAAAAGTAAAAACCTCAGATCATAATCTGAGGTTTTTACTATCGATAAATTATGTTGAATGTCTAAATAAAATACTTCGTATTCATATTAACATTATTTTGGTCATAAATCTGACACCTTTATTAAAATGCACCAGTGGGTCTAGACAAAGTGCAAATTATAATCGAAAAGTGGTCGAAAACCCCTTTTTTTGTGTGGAGTTTTGACGGATTCGATTCGATCAAAAAGTGCGTTTTGTCTAGGGGGGCTGGTGGATCATAGTAGGTATGATTGCTTGCATGAAATGCTTATTGCAGCTATCACTGCATTATGCATGAGCAATTTCACAATCATAATTTTTTATACTTTCTGTGTCGAAATTAACGATACAACCCGAGCATTAGTTAGAATATTCATTAGTGCAAATGTTTTATATCTTAAATAATTTCACGGTTATGTAACAGAAGAAACTGAATTAGTTATATCATATTTTACAATTATAATTGCGAAAACAAATGCGTACCAGCAGACTAGTCCATTTCTAGAGCATTGCCTGGACACGAAGTTTCCATCGGCTGCACATTGTGGCACGTATCCTTTTCCTTCTTTCTCGCTGACGACCAGTAGTTCTGCTAGCATCTTTTGTTGGGTGCACATGGTCACGTTATGTGGCAAAGTGCAGTGTCTTCCACATTCTCCTCCATCGCAGCACTTCTGCATAGACGGGCACTCTAAGTCGTGTGCGCAAGGCGCTCCGCATTCTACCTCTTCGGACGAGGAAGCTGGACAAGTCCCGGCTTTTTGGAGTTCGAGGGAGGCTGGACAGCAGACTCCGTAATCGTTTCCTGGAAAAAAATGCCAAAACATTATTGGGCTCCTTCAAATTAAATAGGTAGGGAAAATCTCCCATGATTTTTGATACGGACCTGATTCGACCAGGCATCTGTAGAAAGGTGGGCAGTTTGGTTTCCCAGGGTCCGTACCACAAAGGAACGGTCGGCTTGTTTCAGATATGAGAAGAGGCTCCCCTGCTGGACAAATGTTTGACAAACTTCTTCCTCTCTTGCCTGAAACAAACGAATGAGTTCAAAGATAACCAGACCAGACCAGACTTAAAAAGTAAGAACACGACAGTTATGACCACAGGCTGACTCGTACTATAGAGTTCTCGGCTCTATAATATGAGTCAACCAGAAAAATAGGTAATACTTAAAAACTGTTCAATAATCTTGTCTGGAGTACCTACTTATATCCAGACCACTCGGTGAATATGTAGTAAATGCATAAAATCACATTAAGTAGGTAAGAAACACACAAATATTGTTATTCCAACTTATTTGACCAGTTCTTCTTAAGCTTTTTAGACAAGACCACTCACACGTAGGACTAGGAACTGGTTGACACGGCGGCCTCAGACAGGGCATCTCCTCCAGCTGGCAAGACAGCTGTCCGGGACACGTGACGGACGCACAGGGGTCCCGGCACTTGCACAGCGGGCAGCCTCGCGCGTCCAGCTCGAAGCCGAGCGGGCACAACATGTGGCAAGTGTGGGCGGCGCTATAAAGCCAAAAGGTCACTCACACGTAGGAACTGGTGGACATGGCGGCCTCAGACAGGGCGTCTCCTCCAGCTGGCAAGACAGCTGTCCGGGACACGTGACGGACGCACAGGGGTCCCGGCACTTGCACAGCAGGCAGTCTCGCGCGTCCAACACAGCAGGCGGCAAGTGTGGACGGCACTATAAAGCCAATAAGACCACTCACACGTAGGAACTGGTGGACACGGCGGCCTCAGGCAGGGCGTCTCCTCCAGCTGGCAAGACAGCTGTCCGGGACACGTGACGGACGCACAGGGGTCCCGGCACTTGCACAGCGGGCAGCCTCGCGCGTCCAGCTCGAAGCCGAGCGGGCACAGCATGCGACACGTGTGAGCGGCGCACGGTGACACGCGCGTGCAGTTGACTAGGCCTGCTGCGGGCGCTCGGGTGCCGGGCACCTGGGGAAAATGTACTCTAATGCCACGTGCTAAGGTTGGTTGTACCTATTTGCACTAATAAATATCTGAGACAAAAATCTTGGAGCCAATATCCTGATAAGTATCTTGGACAGAGACGTGACGCAAGCTTGCGTAGTGTCAGTTTTTGTGACAGATTATAAACGAAAGGGGAACTAAGACCTCCAGTAACTGGTGCAAAAATGTATTGGAAGTAATGTGTAATGCAAACTTTGATACATGGCAAATTAAATGTAAAGACAAGTTTGAACCTTTACATAATCATGAACCTAAGGGTCTCACAATTCATGTTTATCATTCGTGTTTTTAATTGACAGATATCTCCACTTAGCTAACACACAGCCAGCACACATAAAAGTACGTTGTCTATAGTACCCATAATACAAGCTTTGCTTAGTTTAGGACTAGAAGCGTAGTGTAAAAAATTTCAAGGATATTTATTTATTTATTTATTAATAAAGACCTTTTTGCCGCTGGGGCAGAAAAGTTCTTGAGTNATACATATAACAGGGGATTTTGGTCTAAAATCTAATCGTTTACCTCAAACCCAGCAGCGTCGACGCACCAGCAGCTGCTGACGATTTCGTTATCGCACTGGATCTCCTCGAATTCTCCGTCGGAGACCCTGCAGCGAGGAGCCCGCACGCTCTTCAGCATCCCGCGGCCGCTGCGGCTGTTCTCAGCAGCCAGCGCCCGGGATATCCTCTCTGATGACATCTTTACGTTCTCACAACCTGGAATAAACAAGCGTTTTGTAGCAGCCGTCGTAATCGGTTACAATGTGGTGAGCAATAGAAGGTGTATGTGGTGCTATTTATGTGATCTGACGGTGAATCCCTGGTTAAAGTAGTAACGAACCGTCTCTACTAGTTATCTCACGCTCAACTTCTATATTGCAACCCCTCTAGTACTGTACTCATAGCGTACGTACTATGAGCGTCTTCCAATAGAGGACTGACATGATAATCTAATCTGCCGTCGTCGAGAAAAGCCTATATTATGCTTCGGATTTATTTGTAGTCTTAACCACTCTAGCTAGAACTATTGCTTGTTTAGATGCTGTAGATGCTGGCTACACACACAGATGCAGCTTTACGATAATGAGTAGGGTAAGTATAGTCCTGCTGATAAACTAAGTAGACCGCAAAAATTGTGCTGCAGTGCTGCACTGCAGCGTATAACTTAACTGCGGCCTTAACCTTCAAGTTTAGGTTTTATTTTTATTTATTAGGCACGACGACACGCCCTCCGCCGGGCCTCGCCCTCTTAACTCGGCTGGAGAGGATCAGAAGAATGCTAGGGAAGGTTCTGTTTATTGCTGAACTGACCAGTGTACAGTGGGTCGATACAGGCGCGTCCACAGCTGGTACTGCAGCATATCTGCTTGCCGCACTCGTCGAAGGAGCCGCACGGCGTCACTCACGCCGGGCACGACACGCTCTCTGCCGGGCATCGCCCTCTCTACTCGGCTGGAGAGGATTAGAATGGTTTGGGAAGGTTCTGTTGATTGCTGAACTGACCAGTGTACAGTGGGCCGACGCAGGCGCGNCACGTGTGCGCGGCGCTACAAAGCCAATAAGACCACTCACACGTAGGAACTGGTGGACATGGCGGCCTCAGACAGGGCGTCTCCTCCAGTTGGCACGACAGCTGTCCGGGACAGGTAACAGACGCACAGGGGTGCCGGCACTTGCACAGCGGGCAGCCTCGCGCGTTTAGCACAGCATGCGGCAAGTGTGGGCGGCACTATAAAGCCAAAAAGGTCACTCACACGTAGGAACTGGTGGGCACGGCGGCCTCAGGCAGGGCGTCTCCTCCAGCTGGCAAGACAGCTGTCCGGGACACGTGACGGACGCACAGGGGTCCCGGCACTTGCACAGCGGGCAGCCTCGCGCGTCCAGCTCGAAGCCGAGCGGGCACAGCATGCAGCTAAGGTGCGCGGTGCTATAAAGCCAANCAGGCGCGTCCACAGCTGGTGCTGCAGCAGATCTGCTCGCCGCACTCGTCGAAGCCGCACGGCGTCGCTCGCGCCGGGCACGACACGCTCTCTGCCGGGCATCGCCCTCTCAACTCGGCTGGAGAGGATTAGAATGGTTTGGGAAGGTTCTGTTGATTGCTGAACTGACCAGTGTACAGTGCAGCGGGTCGACGCAGGCGCGTCCACAGCTGGTGCTGCAGCATATCTGCTCGCCGCACTCGTCGTCTGAGCCGCACGGCGTCGCTCGCGCCGGGCACGACACGCTCTCTGCCGGGCATCGCCCTCTCTACTCGGCTGGAGAGGATTAGAATGATTTGGGAAGGTTCTGTTTATTGCTGAACTGACCAGTGTACAGCGGGTCGACGCAAGCGCGTCCACAGCTGGTGCTGCAGCATATCTGCTCGCCGCACTCGTCGTCTGAGCCGCACGGCGTCGCTCGCGCCGGGCACGACACGCTCTCTGCCGGGCATCGCCCTCTCAATTCGGCTGAAGCTGGAAACATACGTTGATATTAGATGCACATCAGAATTGAGACTGCATAAATTTATGCATTATTAGTGCTCATATTAGGATTACATATTTAATTTATTCTATGAAACATATTAGTATTAGGACTATTTAATAAGCAGTGCTGAGTTGTTACTTTTTTTTCAATTATAATGGCTCTATCAGAATACCATCGTTACATAAATCTTAGGTTCTACTCTAGATGACACGTGTTGAGTGGTTGCAATTTTGGTTCAAACAACTAATAAAGTAATACCTATTTTTTTTTTGTTTTTATTTCATGCTAAAAATACATAAAAAAATGTAGAAGGTACTTAGCTATACTTATTTTTATTCGTAAAATTCTTGCTCTATGTTTCTTAGGTAATCTGTCCTGAGTATCTGATCTAGTCTCCGTTAAATTAAGGACTTATATTACCCACGTTTTGGTGAACGTCAGAATGGCGGGTGTATTGTCACAGAAATGAATCATATAAATATGAATTTTTAATACCTGAGGTGTACCTTTATGTACCTTTAGTTATTAATTTTGTACTTCCCTAATACGGGAACAATTTAAATTACAAAATGAGCCGCCAACCTGATAAAGGTACACCTCAGGTATTAAAAATTCATATTTATATTATTCATTTCTGTGACCATACACCCGCCATTCTGACGTTCACACGTTTTGGGTTTCTTGGTAGTAAATAAAGTTTTGGGCTATAAGTAAAAGTTCTGTTCTATGCATCGCTACATCGCTGTTTTCTACGCAACAATCCATAAACGATTGAGAGACTCAACGATGCAATTAAATACTTACGTTGTTACAAAGAAGCAAGAAACTTGAAACACGTTCACAACTATTTGGACCTTTGGCCAACAACGGACTCGTTCTGACCACTTAAAACTTCTTCTAACAGGTGAAGTTACACAATAAAGTAGAACCGAGTGTAGGTATAGCTGAAGTCAAGCAACTAACTTTCTTCAGAAGCTTTAAGTTGTAGTTATTATTTCTTTGTTCTGCTCTACTTCATACTTTTACTCGGAGTTATGTACAAGATTATTTTCCAAAGAAATCTACGCTGGAGTCTTGCTCTAATATTTTTTATTAATATTGATTAAATAGAATCAATTTGGTACGCATAATTTTGTAAATTGTTCAACGCAATATTATGCATTTTGCTGTGAATAAAGATTGAGAACTAATTATTGAGAGCTTTCAGTGCGAGCGCAGGAATACATTGGCTATTTTGTACCTAATTTCACTACTTTCTGTTCAGAGTCAGCAGTCACTGTTTACTTTTCATGAAAACAATATTTTTTTTGTTTATTTTCCCTATTTACTATAATTACTACTTACCATATTGTAAGAAGAACGCAGCGCAGAGCAGCGCCGCCTTCACCGCCATCGCTGCATCACACACGCGACCTCTGTAACAAAACAAATAAGTTTAAGTTAATAACTGAAATTAAAAATGTTTTAAGTCTTTAGTTTGACCTACACGTGAGGAAAATCGAGCGAGAAGAAAAAACAAAAGAATAGCGTTTGTCGTCGAAAAAAGTAGGCAGTTTTCTTGTATGCCAGTGTCGCGCGGCTTGTGCGGTCGCAAGTTTTTTATGAAGTAAATTTTAATTTCATAAAAAACTGTGTTCAAAGAGGCTTGAAGTCACTGAACCACTTTTTATCGACGTGTCATGTGTGCACACGAACATCAACCTTAAAAGTTTTTACAACCATTCAAGCCATTCATGATTTAACTTGAATGGGCTGTGTACGAGAAAATTAACCGCTTGTTGTATGCGTTCCGAGGTTGAATGGAGCTTGCATGAAATTCCCGTGTCCGGCCCAGGGCGTAGGAGGAGCGCATCCAAGTCATACATATTGCATGGATTTCTAGCGCTTTAACGGTGCACGCCACATAGATGCTATTTGTGTTTGTATAGTTTGCACGAAGCACGTTAGTCGGGAAATGTTTGTCGCAAAATAGCTCTATTACAGCTAGGTACTTATGATGAACAGTGTTTTATCTAGACATCTGCTAATATAGAATCTACTAGATTACCTACTTGTAAGTATGCTTAAGTATAATAAGGGAGAGGTCCGCTAATTTGGACCAGTTTTTTTCAATCCCATTTTACACATAGTTTTCTTTTGTTTTTGCTAATGTCCATGGTATATAATAAAAGATACATTATTCAACTTACTATTTCATAAGTATTAATTAACATGATTGTTGTCTAATTAGCACAAATCAACAAAGTACGAGTTCAGAGCTTCGGTCCAATTTAGCCAACCGGTTCTATAATTTGTACCACAGGGTTACTAAATTGGATTTCAATAAATTTCAAGCCTTGAAAAAAACTATGGCAAAATATTATACGATACATTCTTAACAAATTAGGAAACGAAAAGGAACAGTAGTTAATAACATAGTCAATCGATAGTGTTTTACACGTTATCACGATTTTGAGTACAAGTTTTGTAATTCAAATTATCGTAACGCACACTTGTACCTAATCTACTTTGCCAGTCTTTTGCTTTCATTTATTGTTAGTCAAACATAACTACGCTATTATAATTGCAAAATATGATTTACTAAAAAAAAATTCAAAATCCTTTGGTAAAGTTCCATACGACTTGATGTGGTACAATTTAGCCGACTAGGTGATAGTGCTTTAAAAAATCGGTAAAAAACATATAGCTTATAAATGCCGAAAAATGTTTCAAATAATTGTAATCCACACTAATTTACGCTTCTAAATAATATATTAGAAACACCCTGTGGTTAAATTTAACAAAATTACAAACTAAACATGTATTGTCAAATGTTACTTGAAAACAATGAAAAAATACTTTTCAAAATAAAATACACGTGTTAATTGTCACGGCAAAAACCGCATGGTCGATATTAATTGATTTTAGTTGTGTATCGCTGAGTGTTGCAATTACAGACATTCAATAAATACTTTACGAAATATGAGGGTGGTACAATTTCCCCGGCGGTACAATATACCGAACTCTCCCCTATAGTTTAGCTGACAGTGACTAAAAATAATAGAGCTTACTGCTCTACTACTGAATGCAATGCAATTAGTGGAAATAATTAAGCTGGTGATAATTATATGTGATAATTACTATACTTTTGAGCATGTGTGAGCTAACCCCTTTTGTAAAACACTGCATCATGTGTTTTTCATCGTTAATGCCACGCCACATACATGCGCTACAATATTTCAATTAGTTTTGTTTTAATGCTAGCATTTAAAATGGAACGTTTATGTTGTGAAACTTTGATTTGGGACAAGAACTGAATCACAGTCCCATTGTATTCCTAACACCATATGTCTTGGATCGCTATGGCGAGCATTCTTTTGGTCCCAAACAATGGCTGAATCGATTGTTAATATGTATGCGACTCACGTCCCGCCCTTGTAACTATTTTATTAATGCATTAAGAAACCTGCGTCCAGACGCTATTGTGGCCTTATATTTGTTCACCACACTTACTTATAAGTATGAGGTTTCGAAGTACCTATAAACTGATAGAATTTGGCAATATTGTGTGTAGATTCTGAAAATAAAAATTAGTCACGCACGTGTTTGATTTTATGACTTCATAACTACTGACTATGTTGGTAAAGTAGACGAAGCTTCAAGGTAAATCTAGAACTACTTTAGATCCCTATGAAAATCTGAAGCAAAACTGGAGCTCAAGTTTACCTAAAAAGGGAATAGGTTTTCTTTACCATTAAAAGCACATTTTCTTGAATTTTCACGTTACTCGCATACCCACTCACTTTGTCACAGAAAAACATTTTTTTGGTATTTTGGCTTTCGTGTTTGCGTTTCACGGCGAAGGAAAAACGTTACGATAGGCATCTGTTTCTTAAAACAAAAGACTGATGTCCTCTGATTCTACGAATCGCCTGTGGCAACTTGTAGTGGTACAACAATTAATTCATTTGAATTTTCAAGTCTCTAACACTGATTGTTATCCGGTACGCTACTGCAGCGTATTTAAAGGAAAACGTTACATCAAGCTACACTCTTATGCCTTTGAAATGGGTGCGATTTTGCAACAGAAATGCTTTCTGATCTCTGGCGACTGTACGCACTTTGTTTACTAATATGGTCAGTCGATTGTATTATTTTGAGCTGATTATTGACGAGGACTATGAAATCAGTGCAGATATCTAGTTGTCTTATGCTGGATTTCTATATTCAATCCTAATCCAAATTGGACGGATTTGGATTGTCAACTGTATAATTTTATATAATTTTTATATAATAACTGTCGTATTTTGGACAAAATATCTGTAGTTTTTGATGTTTTTAAATTTTTATATTGTTTATAAGACTTTTAAACAATATTAAAGTGTAAATGCATCGAACATTTTGGAAATATAATCTAAAACTGAATTCAATTTGACAGTTGTAATCCGGATTTGGACAAGGATTGAATATAGGAAACGGGCGTTAGACGACACCTTCTCAATGATCCGTCGACCCTGGAAATAACTGGCAGCAGCTGGATTTGAAAAACAGGAGATCGTGCTTAGCTACTTAATAAAAACCTGTGGAGAAACAGTTGTCTCGTGCACAAATTTCAACGCTACAAAGCCCTGACAAGGACTCTCAAATGTGTGAGCCACATGACTTATGTGGCGACGAAACAAGTGACGACACTTTGGAAGATAGACTCTCAAAAAGCATGGACTACTCAGTAATAAATACATGTGATGTTTACGAAGCCAAAGAAGAGATTATTGAGTTGAGAAATAACCTAATCAGTACTCAACACGAACTGGAAAGCACAACAATAGAGAACAATGAACTAAAGAGACAAATAAAGAAACAATCCAAGGAAATAGAACTTTTGAAAAGTATATGCCAAGCACCAGTATCCTTTAACAACAAGGAAAATCTGACCATTGGGGAAGCAACTACCCCCCAAAGGTTTCACACGCTTCGGCGCATATCATGCTCCACCCCCTCATCTCCTGGCCCTACCTAACAAATAAATTTAATAGGTAATACATGAACTAACAAATAAATTTGAAAACCACAAAATCATTATTACAGGGGATTTTAACATCAATACCTTAGAAAAGACCAAAGCATCTCAATATCTCCACGACATAGTTGCAAATTATAACCTGACCACCCATATAGACGAGCCGACACGGGGAAATAGCTGCCTAGATCACGTAATAAGTTCTGTAAAAAAGGCGAAAGGAACTTTGTTACCATTGCACTTATCTGACCATAACACGGCTCAGATGTTATCATTTCCAATAAAGAAACAGCCAAAGGCAAACTGCAAGTTTGTTTATAAGAGAGAATACAGTACTGAAAATATTAACAAGTTTTGCGATTACCTTAAATCCTTATCATTCACAGAGGTTTTGGAGGAAAATGATATAAATAAAGCTTTTGACAANAGGAAAATGATATAAATAAAGCTTTTGACAATTTTCACCAAACCTTTGGATTATTGTTTAAGTCCTGTTTTCCAAAAATAAAATTAAAAATAAATACAAATTCATTAAAACCTAAGTGGATAACTAGGGGATTGAAAATATCGTCTAAAACAAAAAGACTGCTACGTTTCAAATATTACAAGGGAAAAGAAAGACTTGATAGGACTAGGTACATTAACTACTCTAAAATCCTTAGGAAGTGCATAAACAAAGCCCAAAAATTATGTAATGACCGTTACCTCCAGCGCA